GGACTCTGTGGTCCACAGGAAGAGATATTCCCTAGAATTTGGTAAAGAGGTCTTCATATGTTCCTGCTTGCCATGGTAGATAATAAGAGGATGAAATTAGTCATCTCTAGATTCCTACTTTTAAAAATTGAATTATTTAAAAATTGTATAAATCATGTACAAAAAACTGTATTCCATTTAAACTATAGAATTTAAGGACTTGGGCAGTTGTATATTCCTGCCAAACTACCAGTCAAGATACAGAACATTTCCACCACCTCCAAAAGTTTATTTCTGCCCTTTTGCAGTCCAGCTTCTGTCGCTATCACCAGGCAATCACTATACTCTGCTGTCTGTGAGTCAATTTTTTCCCCTAGTGGATATTGATTTTTTCCAGCGCTTTCTTTGAAAGAAATTTCCATTGAAATCTTTGGCACTTTCGTCAAAAATCAATTGAGTATATCTGGATGTAGTTCTAGACTTCATTCCATTCTATTGATTTACATGCCTATCAACCAATACTGTTGCTGGGCAGCTGCATCTGGGGTGGTCTCTCCCTGAGCAGTAGGTGAAGTACTAGAAGAAACCGCAACCTGGATTATTGACTCTGAACAGGAAAGAAGTCTTGAACAGGTCAGAACAGTGTAGGTAAGGAAGGAATTCATTAAAGCGAGAGTAGCAGTGAATAGCAGCTGCTGTGCAGGCAGCAGAGAGCAAGGAAGAACAGGGGGAGGGAAGGAAGTTCATTGAACTCCTGCTCAGCACAGGGCAAATCCCTTGCCAACTCCTAAAGCCAGGGTCACCTGGCATCCACTTGAATCTGCGTGGTGTGGGAACTAAGCCCCTACCACCCCAGCATTTGGGGGAGCCGCAGAGCACTGGATGGAGTGAGATTACTGAAGAGTCCTGACTGAAGAGTCTTGACATAAGCTACTCCATTTTATAAGTGACTTCATTTTGTAAGACAGGTCACATCAAGAAGAAGTTACAAGAGTTACAAAAATTTAACCAACACAGTTGCCAGGGCTGGCTGGATGCTCCCGGCCAGTGGAAGGTGGATGGCTCGCCCACCCTGTGGTCAGGAGTGTCACTCCACCTAGAAGGAACTGGTCCAAATGGTTGGTAAACAAGTTGGTTGCAGTGAAGGTCAGGTCATATCTAGGCTCTTTCTGTGCACAGCCCGCTCTGCGCAAGGCCTGCTCTGCACATGACCCCATTCCTGTGTATAAAAGAATGAACTTCTACTTTGGGGTCCCCACCTGCAAGTGTGAGACCCCAGCATGCTGGCTACCCAATAAATGCTCTTGCTTTTGCATCCATGCGTCTCCTGGTTATTTGGAGGTCGATTGCATGGACCCAACAATTATATTCTGAGAACTTCCTAAAAGCAAAGAAAGATTTAGGGGCAGGCTACTAAAGAGCATGATTGTACAGCTGCAATCCTGTCCTTGTTACCCAGACAATGGGAACTTGCAAAGAGCTCTCAGTAGCCCCTCCCTACTTGTCTGAAGTAGGACAGGGAGAGGGAAGACTAGTGCTTAAGTAGAGAAAATAGAATGAAATAGCAAAGTAACAAAGGTGCTTACCATTGGAAGAGTGGAGACAAAAAGCAATAATTTGAGCAGAGAGAAGTCTTTAAGGCAAAAAAGTACACTCGAGAAAAGCAGAGAGCAAGGAAGAACAGGGGGAGGGAAGGAAGTTCATTGAACTCCTGCTCGGCACAGGGCAAATCCCCTGCTGACTCCTAAAGCCCGGCAACCTCAGAGAGGAGGCACACCTACGGGTTTAGGATTCTGTCTTTTAAAGCTTTCGAGAATGGGGCAAAGGGCAGTGTGTGGGGAATGGGTGTAGGCTTGATGTGCGGTCTCATGATGTCTTTCTCCTGGTGAGAGACATTATGTCACTATTCACAGTCAGTCCTCTAGATAATTCTGTAAGATAAACTTAACACAGAGAATTTATTGATCCTGTTCTTCTCTAAGATGGTGGCTTCTTGCCCTGCCTGAGATGGCGTGGGTTATTGTCTGATTACAGAAGAATGTTAGGAATCTTCCTCCTAACTCCCTGGTTTTTAAAATGGAATCTTAGCCTAAAGACGGAGTCCCTCCTATTCTTACCATACTGTTTATATCTTGGCATTTTTCATCATTGGCAGGAAAAGTTAATCATGATGCTTGTCCCATGTCCCTGTCCTACTTCAATACCACAGTCTTGATACTGCTGTTTGTTTTGAAACCAGGTTGTAAAACCTGTCCAACTTTAAATTGCTTAGGCTCTTATGACTTAATGGAATTTTTGCTTGTTTAAGTTTTATGCCATAAAAAGCAATCTGTTTCTAATAATGGTAATTTATATATACTTAAAACACTACCATAAATAAACTACATAAAAATGTTGAAGAAAATATAATTTTTACCATTATGATTATTTGAGAGACTAGCCTGTGGTATGTGGATATTCACATGAGATGGTGAAAAGCTGTAATGTTTGAACACAAGCCTTCTTGAAGCTTAGTTCATGACAATGTGCAATTTGACCCCCATAAGCCCATTTTCCTTCTGTGAGGCTTGCAATGCAGCAGATAACATATGTGAGCGCCTCCAGCACAGTGGGCACACAGTAAGCACTTGTTACCTATTAATATGATCACAGTGGCTTAGCGTATCACATCTTGGATATCTAAGAACTTTCATAAACAAGATCAGGTGTGACTATTTCCTTTGGGCATTACATAAGTGACGTTTGGGGAAGGCTGACACAGTTGTAGGATTTTTTTTTTACATTAGAATGTTGATATAGTTCATCTTGTAATTAATTTTAAAGTGGAAATAATTGCCAAAATAAATCACACATTATTTTTATATTTAAATGACAAACTAAATAAAGAATTTTAGATCTGCAATGACATGAAGAGATTATCTTCCATTTCCCAGTTGTTCACACATGGCATCTGCTACCTCCCTCCCCATTTCATTCTTCTGACAGGTTGTTGGTGTCTTACCTTTTCTATTTTCTCTTCTAGAAGTAAAAAGCCTGTGTATCAACTTAATAGCATTTTCTTCAGCAATGCAGTACAACATTTACACTTTGTAATGGTGAAACCTGTTAAAAATCAGGATCTGATTATCATCTCCATTGATGCTCACAAGTTAGAATTTCTCTTAAAATCAACTCATCTGATCTAAGGGGTAAATTTCCTAGAGGCCAAACCTGGGTATAGATAGAGAATGAGTTTTTCTTACAAGTGATACTCAGTACTGAAATTTTCTTTAGTTAATTGTATGTTTTAGCCTAATTTTTGAATGTGTTTAAATGATCTCTTTAATAAATGCTAAGTTTAAGATAGAATCAGTGAATATCTAATTTTTGCATGTACACTGATGAATATTTGGAATCTAAGGAAACCATGTGCTTTAAATAAAATCTAATTGCATGGAAATAAAATAACTTTGAGGCTAGCCAAATTATGAAATCGCCTGCCTTAAGATTTTGATGACATCGAGCAGGAAACATTTGGCAATGTCTGGAGACATTTTCTGTTCTCACAACCAGGGAGAGGAAAGTGGGAGGTGCTGCTAACATCCAGTGAGCAGAGGCCAAGAATGCTGCTAAGCAGCCTACAGTACTCAGCATGCCTCCACCTTTGCCCATCCCCCACCGCAGACTTACTTGGCTTCAATCTCAGCAGTGTGAAGAAGCTTGACATACAATTACTCCAAAACCTTCTCATTGTCCAAGGGTGCAGTCTAAAATCAAAAAAACAGATGAAAGGACCCGGATACCTTTTTCCTTCTTTTAGTTCTTTTGATTAGCTTTGCCTATCAGCAAGTAAGAAATGTGCAAAAACACATGAAAGTCAGTCTGAACTCTAGTGCTTTTTTCTGGTACGTGCCCTGAAGGATCTGACTCTTGGAGCAGGTCTTAATATGATGCTCACAACAGAGCTATATCTTGGTCCTAGAGTTGTTCCCTTCAATCAGGATATGTTTTCTTCATGAGTTATTAAATTGGGGAATGGAAAAGCCTGACAGGCGCCTGAGTTCTCAAATCATGGCAGGCTCACTTCTTGTTTCTTTGCTAAAAATTGCCTGTTTAAGGCAGCTGTGTCTGAAAATGGAACTCCAGTGACTGCTCAGGAGATGGTGCCCCTTGTGAACTCATCTTCTCCGATCATGTTTTCCTCATCTTCAAATATGGTATGTCTAGTATAGATGAAAGGCTGAACATATTATAATAGAAAGGGAAGAAAGAAAACAAATTAAGTAGCAGTTTGGTTTTAAGATTTTATAAACAATTAATTCATTAAGCAAATTTTCAGGCCTACAAATCCTGCTACACTGAGATCCACTGGCAGATGGGTCCATGTCATTTAATTTATAGTGAGGACTGTTACAGGTACCTGAGTTTCAATTAGATAATTAAAGTGATGAACCAAATATGGATGTTTTGTAATTTTATCCCATCTGCTCAGCATTAGCAAGATGCATCCTGAAAGAGGAAAAAAATTAAATATGAATTTAGAGTACTCATTTGATAGGCACCAAGAAGCACTTAGAATGAACAATAAGGCATCTTTGTTTCAAGGCCCTGATCCACTCTAAAGACACATTTTTCTCTCAGAATCTCATTTCCTTTCAGTCCTTATAATTATTTGCTGAAATTATTTTGCCTTTTTTTGGCTATTTCTTGAGTTTTTCCTTCTGTTGGAGACCTTTGACACCTGGACAGGACCTTTGAAAATAAGACAAGTAGTTTTTCCAGCACTGCAGGTGTCTGAATTCTTGCTATTATTAATAGATGCCAACAAATAGAAATAAATGTTTTCACATCCATGGTATTAAGACTCTAAATCCCATCACTGTGGTAGGTATGGGCCAAAAAGCTCTCTGGAGAAGCATACTTAAGATTTATAAAAGCAAACCCAATTTCACTGTGGGCCTATGAATTGATGTGTCCCTTGAACAATGACAGAAAACCACCTTTTCCTCAAGCATATAACTTAATCAAGATTAAGCCCATAGTTGTGAGGAACATAGGTTTTATTTTTAAAACATGGTTGGATAAACTCCCCAAGATTAGAAAATTTTGTTTCCAAACTGAGCTATCAAGCCTTCTTAAAGCAAACTGGAAAGTACAGGTATACATACAGTCAGAAGCACGACTAGTGAATGCCTTCTATGGATATAAAAGACTAGTAAATAACTAAGGAAAGTTTAACGGAAGCTCACTACAAATTCTGCTCGCAGGGATGGAATGGATTTCTCCCAGGCACTGGATGAATGTTGAGACATAACAGCAAGGGAGTAGTTACAGGTAAGTTCCTTATTGGAAATAAGGCATCTTCTTTGCCCCATACTGAGGAAGGCTTATGTGAAGTCATGGATGTAGCTCATTCCCAAGGAAGAAAGAAGCCACGGGCTCTGTGCCCTTCAGGTAACTAGGCAGTCTCATTTGGTAGTCTAATGGGACAGATGGCTCTTATCCTACAGTCACTGTCTATCAGCTGTATTTGTCATTTGTCGTCACTACACTGGGTCAAATGAAACAGAAAGCAACCTCTCACGTTCTGCCCAAATCCTTGTATCACAGATATTAGGGCTCTGAAACCAAGGCATCTCCTAGCCAGAGACCACAAATAACTGAGGTTCTCCTAACTCTTGAGATCCTGTTTGTCATACAGATTCAGTTCATATATTATCTTTAACTTTTCTGAGATGATCCAATTTTGTTCTATCCTAAAAACCACCACATATTTGATTAAGTGATAACACTACTTAGTCTAGGTTATTGGGTCCTGTGGGTTGGCTCATAAGACAAACCTTGGTAGACATCTAAAATAGACAACTGAAGAAAAGGGCCATTGGTTTAGTTTCCTTCCCTTAAAGCATCAGTTCTTGTGAGAAGAGGAAACCCTTTGGGCATAGTCACAGAGGACCTAGACAGTCAATGGGAAACTCCTGCTAGAGAGACTGAGACCGTAGATACTAAATAAATGCATGCTGAATGAACAATATGTTATCGATCCAAGGATGATGTGCACAGGTTAAAAAAAAGAATTTGTGCCTTTTTTGTCATTCAAAACTTTTATTTATTTTTAATATTTATATTTATGCTTTTGTCACTAATCCCACTGTGGCTTTGTGAAAAAGCCTGAGCCACTTTTTGGTTTCAGCCCCCAAGATACTAATCATTCCTCAGTCTTAAAATTCCTTTTCCACTGTTACTTTGCTTTTTAGGGTCATGTAGGTGGACCAGGGTGAGGTAGGACTGTCCATAGGGTTGTGTGAATTGTGGTAGGGGAGGCAGTATAGAACATTCATGGATTTAACACTAGCTACTTTCCTAGAAATGGTCTATGTACTAAAAGACAAAGATTGTGGGGTTTTTTGCTTTTTTAACCCATGAGCATTCAAGTCACTAATAATTTAGTTCTTACAGTTTAAATGAAAGCAAATGGCTATGGTAATATAGAGAAGACAGCTGAACTGCACCAGTATATTTAAGACTTTTAAATTAAATTCTGAGTTACCTCACCTTATAAAAATACACGTATTACTAAATACTCAACAAAGATCCAGGATGGGAGATATTTAAAAATACATTTTTCTCAGATCAGCACCAAAAATATCATTAGATTTTTGTACAACCTATGCCAAGTTTTTAAGTATAGGTTAAGTTAAAATTACTTCTGATAAAAAATCACAAACTCCACAGAAATCATTAGAGATATATCCAGACAACTTTCAAATACATTTTGACATCAAGGTCAAGCAATTCACTCGGAAGGACTTTATAAAGTACCACTGAATTTCTGCCTTGAAACTTTTGATGTCAACTTTGTGCCATAGGGGTATTTCACAGCTCACACAAAGGAGGCACTGATAACTTAGAAACTTAAGAAAATGATTAGAACCATTAAGACTGAGGCAAAGAGTTTGTGCAGCCTTCCACAATTTCAAAGAGGTAGTGATAGATACTCGTCCTCCTGGCGATATCAAATGCAGTCTCTTCCAAGTTGTTTTTCAGACCTGGTTTGATGTAGCGGTTCATCAGAAGGAGTTCTAGGGTATCTTTGCTGTCTTGGTGCCCAGCAGCAAGGTGCAAGGGGGTCAAGAGGCCTTTTGTTTGGGCATTAATATCCGCATCGTGCTGAAGTAGGAAAGAAGCTACTCTGGCATTGTTCCACTTACAGGCACTGTGAAGGGGTGTCCAGCCATCTACAGTCACCGCATGAACATTGGCCCCATGGGCAATCAGCTCACGGACAACATCCAAGTGCCCACTGTAGGCTGCCCGATGAAGAGGGGTGTACTCATCTTCATCCCTAGTGTTCACATGAGTGGCATTTTCAGAAAGTAACCTCTGCACTGTAGTAAGCTGAGAAGAAAAACAGAGAGCTTTCAAAAACCCGTATCAAACCAAAACAGTCAACAAAATTAAACTGGCTAGTGGTGTTAGATTTAGTTAAGTTAAAAAAAAATTCTTTGTTAGCAGATGACTTTAAGATGAAAATATTTCTTTTGGGGGTAGAGAGGGCAACTGATTTAAGAATGCATTACGTTAGTGTTAACCATACTCTGTGGCTTCTAAGAATATGATTCTCTAGATATCAAACCATGCATTTTTGGTCCAATTAAGGCTTGTTTGCACAAAAGCTTTAGTTCTAGATGAATAATATGAAAATAATTGTATTTAACATTTTATATTTCATCTGTGAAAATAAACTGATTTTTTAGTGGGATTATCACATCAGTATACATAGTGTATAAAACCTTAAAAAGTAAACTTCTTTATCAGAGGAATATAATGGTAAAGACATCTAGAGATTAAAGAGCTTAATACCTTCTAAGTAAAACTTTAGAAACATGTTTTCAGGAAGTGGTTTTCAGTTTGGTTTTTGGACCTCAGGTGGGATGAATTGTACTCATGGGTTGAAAATTTATCCAAAAATGCAAGACCTTTTTAGTTATTAGTTTAGTAACATAATTATGGGGGAACATAGTAAAATGAGGTAGAAGTGGCTGAGTGGGAAAATACTTTTGTGGTTAAGTAGGATCATCCCACTTGGATGATAGTGAGCAGATGAACATTCCTGAATCTCAATTTCTTTATCAGTAAAAAGGAAGACTACCACCTATCTTGTAGGGATACACAAGGATTAAATCAAGTAATAGTAAGGCACATGGTAAAGTTGTGATGTAATAAATGTTACTTCCTATCTTCCTTTTCCTAAATGATACTTGTCTCTAGGGTGGTCCTGATGACTTAATATAAATGATTTAAAAATATAGATGATTGTTTGATATCTTTACACCCCCAAATAATACCTAATGATCATTTGGTACTTATGATGTACTTTCATGTACATTGTCTCATTTGATACTCAAATCCCTGTATGAGAGGCAGGTATTGATAGCCATTTTAAAAAGAGGTTCAGAAATGGTAGGACTGGCCCAGCATTATAAACCAAACAGAGGGTCAGGAACAGGTCTTCTGGCTCTGAATGAAATACTTTTCTACTATATTGTGGTTTCCTCTTTAACTTTTTTCTTTACCCGATTTTTTTCAGCAGCCCAAAGAAGCAATTTGCTTGGATCTTTTTCCATTTTTTTTTCTTGCAGTTGATACCATTCTTCATTTTTTTCATCTTGCTCCTCATCTTCATCAGAGTCCCCTCCCCAGAGACTTTGAGTACCAGTGGGAATAAGGTGTCCATGTGTTTTCAACAATTCAAGTTGGTCAGAGTGTTCAGAAAAGTCCAAGGAATTTTCTGGGTCTGGTTTTCCAACATCATTTACTTTCTCTTTTTCCATTTTTACTGCTACTCTATATAATACAAAGCATTTCAAATGTCAGGGTAAAAATTATCTTTCTAGTGATCAGTTATGTCTGCTTAATTTTGTTCATCAAGATCTAAAAACACAAACACAAAAATTATTAGCAAAACAGTAATTGAGACTTTAGCAACAGCACAGGTAAGTCTTGTAACCATATACAAATAAAACTCAGTCTAAACTTTTTGGTGTTTATTGGTACCCTTTACATTCACTAAATAACACAGGTGATAGATTTCAGTTATTTATGTCTTTAATGGCCTAATACTCCTTAGTTTTTGTTTTCTTTTACTAAGTCAATGGTTATATTTTTTTCAATCTATTGGTTTAGATGCTATTGTATTATGCTAAGAGTGATGGTATTTGAAGCTTTTAAATTATAATAAAATGAAGGTGTTTGTAATTTCTATAAACTAGACACACAGATGATATACAGCAGAAACAAAAACTTTTAGTTCCTAAAAAACTACTTCAAAGAATTCAGCATTCTTAGAGATGGAACAGCCCCCATAGGACATCTGTCCCAATTTCTCATCAATACAGGTATCTTTATTATGACATCTATAATAATTATCTTATTTCTACTTGAGTAACTCTGGGCTTGGGAAAATTTGCTGCTTTAAAAAGGAGTCTTATTCATTGATAGACAATGATAGTTCTTAGCTGGCTTCTTGTCTGGAACTGAATTTTGGCTGTAACACACTCCTTCACTCAAGAAATATGAATAGACTGTCTGATATGTGCTAGTTTCTGGGACTGGGATTCAGTAACGAACAAGATCCATCTTAATCTCAAGAAGCTTACTGTCTAATGGGGGAACTGGAAAAGACAGTGTGATCAGTGCTATGACAGGACCATGTCCACATACAATGAGTACACAGGAGGGTCATAATTAGCCCAGTCCTGAGGGATTAAAGGCTTCCTGAAGGAAGTGAGGTTTATTCTGCTAGGTGACTTTATAAATGTATAAACTGCTATCAGCTCAAAGAGTTACACAGCTTATTAAACCTCAGCCAGTTAAAAAAAAATGAGAATAACTAATAAATATTTTTAAAATACTATTTCTCAGCCTCCCAACTGTATTTGTTGAAATCTTACCACTTACAAAGCTTTCAGATCTTAACTTTTATTGTCTTTCTTGATCCTGCAAATTAGATTTCTAGTATCTACTTTTTTTGTGCTACAAATTGCCTTAGTTCACCACTTTTTTTTATTTTAGCCCCTTCAAAAAGTATAAGCTTAAGGATGGGGGCTGTAACTTATATTTATGTAGCATTTGTATACAGCAGGCATTAAGAAATATTTGTAGAAATAAATTTAATTAAAGTCCTACCAATTGATTCTGCTTGGCATGGATTCTGTGAAGTTCCCGAGTTAGTCATACTTCTAAGATACTTATTTCTAATTTCACAAGTTTAATAGTATACAATCCTTATGTAGCAGTAGACTTTATTACTAGCACTAAACTTAAGTTTAAACTCTTATTCATGACTAGTGACTTCTCTGGGTCTGTTACTTCATTGTAAGATGTAGTGATTGTACAAAAGGACTTCCAAATCCCATCCAGCTTTTCAGTCCCAGGACTGTTTTGTTTTATTAGTTCTCTTAGAACTCTCACTTTTGTCTTTATTTTCAAACTATTCCCTGAACCTTGCAACACAAAAGTGATTATACATCAATTCATTAAATACTTAATAGATAGCAATAAATGATGTAAAGTTCACTTGTTTATTACATCAAAATTGGTACCATTATAGCACAGCCCTTAGGCTCCGTTTTCTATAAAAACTTCTCTTCTGAATTTACTGCTCCATACACAGTAAGTTACATATAAAAATTTTTTTAAGGTAGATTTAATTTAAAGAGTTGAACCCAGGTGCATCTCCCTAATCAAGGTTTTTAAAAAATCGATCAAGATTCTTACTTGGTATTTTCCACCAGGAAGAAATGGGGTATGCTTAACTTAAAAGGACACATTTCATTTTGAGAAAGATCTAAACTATGCCAGCACCTCACAAACTGTGACAGGTGGGGACATAAACCCCAATTTACAGACGAAGGCGCTAAGGTTCGTATAAGTTAAAACAACTTGCCCTCGATTAAGGACCTTTCAGTGGAACCGAAAAGCCGGATTTTCTAATTCAAAAGTTTCACATTATTTCTCATTGCACTGCATTTTACGGCTGTCAGTACAAAGTAATATAGATGGGCTGAACCCGGGATCCAGGGGCGACAATAAGGGGAAGCTGGGAATAAAGGTTTGTACACTGGAAGGTCCGAGCGCTTTACCTCCGGGACGTGGGAGTGAGGGACAAGGCCACCAGACCCGAGCCCCTCTGGCACCAGCTGGTCACTTGCTCGGCCCAGGAGTCGTGCCTGCGGCCTTGTAAATAGCCAAGAACCAACAAGCCGCTTCGGCCCTTGTCAGGACCCACGACGCGGCCGGATCTGCCCGGCTCAGCCGGGGTAAACAGGTGACCCGCCCCCATGGGCCCAGGAGTTTTTAGGGGCCGCAAGGCGACCGCGAAGCGTGATACAGAGCTCGGAAAAGGTTCACCCACCTTAGAGAGGGGAAAACCTCCGCCGCGAACCTGGCTTCCGGGATCGTCTCCTGGCTTCTCGGGATTGGTTCCTGCGCGGGGGCGGGGCATCGCCGCTACACCCTCACTGCACTCGGCAGCCAATGAGAGCCGAAGAGAAGTTGTAGCGCCTGTGTCGTCAATGGGGTATCGCGAGAGCAAGCGCTGCATTTCCTTCCCGCCTAAGGTGGGTGGTGGCCCCGCTGGTTGTCAGGCGCTAGTTTGGGCTGAGCTGTTCTTTTCTTCTCTGGAAGTCCGCTTTCTTCCCGGGTAAAAGACACCCTCGGGGCCCGGTGGTGGGGCTTTGGAGAGTGCGGGAGTTGGGTCATTTAGGAGTAGTCCTCGCCTCCTAGTTTTGCGGGGCCCCGTGTGGAAGCCCAGAGTGGGCTGACCCGTCTGGGAGCAATGGGCTGAGTTGACTCGGTCCCGGGCGCAGGTTGAGGCTTGGAATCCCTACGCAACCAGCACTCGGAGTGGGAGGGGTAGTTCCCTGCAGAAGCTATTCGCCTACATCTTGGCCATTTTTCTTTGTCTTGCTGGTGCCTGAAGGTGTTTCTCCGCAAACCACGTGCCTCTGTTTATTTACACTAGTTTAAAACGTGAGACGCTTCTTTTCAAAACAAGCTATTTCAGAAGATCGAGTGTTTTTGAGTAGGAAATAACGGAGTCATCGCCGTGCTCTAGAGTAGCCTATGCATGCAACGTGAAGATGTTTGCACATCCAGAGTTGTTCGTGTGCAAAACCAGAATTACTGTATGTGACCCTTTTTTTGCCCATTCATTTAACAAACGTTAGTTTCCTGTCTGGTAAGTGGAAAGGGAAATAGATGAATTTAATAATAATGGTGAAACTAGAATGGCACTGGTGATGGTTAGTTTCTATTCTTGGCTCTTAAAAATTAAAAGTATAGCAAGCAGGTGCTTAGATGAAAAGGACATTTTCCCCAAACTGGCAGTCTGCTTTTTAAAAATGTGTGTTTTATAATAATGTTAATTTTGCTTTTAGAAATTGCAATTTAGTGAGTTTTCTGGCACATTTGAACACAGGACCCAGGGGTACTTGGCGAGAATCTGGTCCTCGAGGAGCTGGATAAACTGTAGAAATGAGTCCCACAGATGCCCTGTAAGCATTTTTCCTCTGGAATCTTCTTTGTTGCTTGGGATTTCTAAAAGCTCATTGGCTATGGTCACCATAAAATAAAACATTTCATAAATTAGCAATAACTACGATGAACAGAAATGTTAATCATCAGAAAGAATATTTGAAATGCTTAAAAATTCATATTGTATGTTCATTAACTGGAGGATAATATGTAGCTAAGACTGGGGACTTGCAGGAGTTTGGTATGATACTATAGTATCTAAGTTTATGTTAGGTTTTGTCTTAAAATATTGAAGCTATAAATATTCTTGAACTTTGATGAGGATATCTTACTGGTAAATGCAAGCCTATTTAAGCAGATTTCTAGAGCAGTGCGTTGCTCTAGCATTGACTAAATTGGAAGTGAACTTGAGTAAAATGAAAAGACTGGAAAAAGTTATGTGGAAAAATCTTCAGACTTGGAGTCTCATCCTGGTTTCAGTTCCTTGGTTAATAATGTGTGTCCTTGGGTAAGTTAGCAGTTCTCTGAATCTTGTCTCAATGTCTTCATTTTTGTGTAATGGTAATAAAAATGCTTTTCTCACGTTAATTTCGTTGTTTAAGTGAGAATTCATGTGAAAATAAACTTTATAAATTGCCATGGAAGCACCAGGTAGTAATGTGTCTGGTTGTGTTCTGACCTCCCTGTGTGTATATAGCAATCAGAACTGTGTGCATATCATTTCTGAAGTTTCTTAAAGGACTTGTCTTTATAATTTTGATACATAATATGGTAGCAAGAAGAAGGGTTTAAACGAAGGAAGTAGCATTCAACTTGGGCTTTGAAGGATGAGTAGGCTATTGATGGGTGAAAAGCATCGAGAATGTACATTTCCAGACTTATCTGGAAAAATCTCCTGTATATAAAGATTTGAATTTTGGAGATAATATGTAAAAGTTTTTTTAAGTTCATTATGGGTTAGTGAAAATAGCCTGAGTTTTAATCCTAGGTTTTACTTCTGTTTCTGCTACTTAGTTGTGCAATAAATAAATGAGTTAATTTCTCTGTGTTTAGCCTTCTCATTTTTCAGAGATAATGATACCTGCCTCTTTATATGTGAAAGTTAAAGTGAGATCATAGATACAAAAATATTTTTTTTTAAAGTTACATTAAGTTTAAGGGTGTATTTATAACTATTACATTGCTGCTTCACATGAAAGAACCTTTGAATACTACCAGATTTAAATGGAATTGTAAATAACTCTGGTTTTTTGCTTGGCCAGATTTATAAATGAAAAACTAGCTTTGTGTAGAGAGTAGAGTCAAGCAAGTGTCTTCGAGGGCCTGAATGTAAGTTACTAGCTTATTAGGATAAAAATATACTTGTAAAGTAAGAGGAGGGGCTTTTAAAATTAACCACTGAACTCTAATTTTTCTGGAAGAGTGCAAAATAGATAAATAGCAAGTTTAGATAAGGGTTCAAATCCTCTTGGGGTTTTGCTGTGGAACAGAAGGGGAAAGCAACCACACTTTCAGGTCCCAGGTACAAATGAGTGTTGGAAATGGTGTAACAAGGTTTTATACATTTTTGAAGCAGTCACAGAGCCTTTTAAAAATCCATGTACATTCATTCTTTATTAAATTAGTGGTAGGCAACCTATGTGATGTTAAAGATCTATTGAATACTTGAGATTTTCAGACCTAGTTTAAGGCTAGAAAAGCAAATTTACTCCGTAACTGCTGTTACTTACTTTATAAATTTAGGTTGTAATTTGCTCGACTGTTGTTTTGACGACTTCTGTCTTCTTTTTAAATCCAGTGATGATGAAAACACGTTTAAGATCTTAGTTGCGACAGATATTCACCTGGGATTTATGGAGAAAGATGCAGTCAGAGGAAATGATACCTTTATAACGCTTGATGAAATTTTGAGACTTGCCCAGGAAAATGAAGTGAGTGCAGCTTACATTTTTACAGTCTCTACTGTGTTCTCTTACTCAGCAGACTCTTTTCCTTTCTTAAAAGTAGAGGTTTATTTTATACACTCAAGTGCTCACATTGCCTGCTTAAATATCAATATACTAAAAACCCCAAAGCAGTTTTTGTGTGCTCTGTACCTTTAGTTCAAGTAGGAGGTACTTTTGTAAAGTCTAAAAGTTTACAAATACTTATGGAATGTTTACTGAGTGCAGCATCCTGTGGTAGTTTCTCTTTGAAATATAAAGATGACTGCCATAATTTCTACTTTCACAGTACTTTCAGCAAGCCAGTGCCAAAGATAGGCCAGATGTCCAGAATGCTGAGATGCTAGGTCAGAGACGTAACATTATGAACAGGCTGTCCTGGGAGTTTAGAAATAGAGATCATGTTTAGAAGAGTATAGCAAAATGTGTTTAATAAAGGATGTGGCATTCATCTTGGGTTTTGAAAGATGAGCAGGCTCTTGGTGGGTGAAGAGCATAGAGAATGTACATTTCATGAGAAGCGGGAGGAAGGGCACAGAGGTGAGACAACGTGAGGTGTATCAGCAGTATAGCAGGTCAGTTTGATTCATTGGTAGGTCATGTCTTAGAAAGCATGTTGGAAGACTAGAAACGTGATTTGAGCTGCATTCAAGGAGGATTTCAAATGCCAGATTGAGGAGTTTATACCCAATTCTGGCAACAGGGAATAGCATGAATAAGAGACCGGTTTGAAGCTTTTTTAAAGTGTCTTGAGGGTAGAAAAAAGGAAGTGAATGCAAGAGGTATTAGGAAGGTAGGATTTGCCTACTTTGAATGGTTACTTGTAGGGAGTGGGGCTGAGGGAAAAGAGGATGACAGTAACTCTGAAGTGTGTTTGGGTGAAAGGTGGTACCAATAATAGAAACAGCTTTTGAATAAGGCAGAAGTACTTCTTTATGTGGGAAGATGATGAATTCTGATTTAGACCATCTGACTTGGAGAGTCCAATAGGAACTGAGGTCAGCATTGCAGCAGGCAGTTGAACTGTCAGTATAGAGCCCAGGAGAGAGTGAGGGAAAAAATACAAATGCTGCTGACTTACAAGTCAGTATCTCCAACCCTGACTTTCCTCAGAGCTGTGTTCAGTTTATTTGCAAGTCCTTTGGTTCTTCCTCCTTAATATATATGGAGCCCTCCTATACTCTCTATTTTCATGCCTATATTCTTACCCCAAAACGTTTTTCATATTTTGCTAGACTTCAGCAGCTCCCACTGGTCTTTCTGCTTCCATTCTTCTCCCCTACATCTTTTCAGCATAGTAGCCAAAGTGAACTTTTAAAATGTCAATCACATCACTCTGGTGCTTAAAATCTTCCAAGTGACCTTCCGCTGAAACTAGAGTAAAATTCAAAGAATAGGGCTCAACTTGAGCTGGCCCCTGCCAGGGGACTTTGTCTCTTTCGTTTATCTGTCTTGTTTACTACTGTGTTCCATCCGCTCCAGTATGCTGTACCCTGGGACCTTTGCGTGTCTGGTTCTTTCTGCTTGGAGCACCCTGTCTTGGCAGGGTTGACTTCTCAGTGCTGAGTTCAAATGTTACCTTTTTGAAGAGGTCTTCCCTTACACCTCCAAACACTCTTTTATCACAATACTCCATTAATTTTCTTTTTCATAACACCGTTTGAACTAATTTGTTGAACTGCTCACTTGTTTACTATCTGTTATTTCCATTGGAAGGTAAACTCTGTAAGAGAGAAATCTTTTCTGCTTCGTCATGCCGTATCCTAGTGACTAGAAAGGATCTAGCAAGCAGTAGGTACTCTTATAAATTTAAGGAATGAGGCAGTGTCTAGTAATAATTCCATTTAAGACAGATTTCCTCTTTCCCTGAGCACACAGAAGCTTGCAGCCATAGGAAATCAGTTGACTGCCAGAGGACCCTTTGTTCTTTCTTTTCTAACTCTTAGGTGCCAAAATACTTCTTTTCCTGAGTCAGCTTCTTTCTCCACTTGCTGTTGCTTCTCCTCCGTTTGCATTTGTTTCCTTTCCCTGCATCTCTCACCCACCCCCAACCACCAGGGCCCCATGCTGGTATCCCCAGGTGGGTATTACATTTATGCTTTCCCTATTGAAATCTAAATTCTTCCTGACTTTTAAGTCCTCTATATTGTGGATCTATACCCAGCCTTATTTCTACTCCCTAGATCCTTGGAGTTTTTTTCTTTTTTTTTTTAACTTAATTTTGAAAAAATATCAGTCTTGCAGAAATGTAAGAATAGTACAAATAATTCCTTACCCTTCACCACAGATTTTCCTATATTTTACCACATTTGCCTTATCTTCACTCAACACACACACACACACACACACACATTTTCTTTTCTGAGCTATTTGCGGGCACACGCACACACACACACACACACACACACACATATATATATATAAAAGAAAGGGGAGGAATACACACACACACACACACATACACACACACACATTTTCTTTTCTGAGCTATTTGCGGGCACACACACACACACACACATATATATATATAAAAGAAAGGGGAGGAATACACACACACACCTGCATATGTAGCTACAGTGCGCTTACACACACACACAATCTTTTCTGAGCAATTTGCGGGTGCGCACACACACACACACACACACACACACATATATATATATAAAAGGGGAGGAATACACACACACACCTCCTGCATATGTAGCTACAGTGCGCTTACACACACACACACACACACACACCTTCTTTTCTGGGCTATTTGCAGGCACACACATACACATATATATATAAAAGAAAGGGGAGGAATACACACACACACACACACACCACCTGCATATGTAGCTACAGTGCGCTTACACACACACACAGTCATCTTCTTTTCTGAGCTATTTGCGGGCACACACACACACATACATATATAAAAGAAAGGGGAGGAACACACACACACACACACACACACACACCCCACCCCCCTCCTGCATATGTAGCTTCAGTGCGCTTAGGAAAACCAGATAATTAATATTGATTTGTACTGTTATGTGATTTTAAGATGTTGCCAATGGTCTCAGTAATGTCTGTTAGAGCAGTTCGGGGTAGGTGGGTGGTGTCAGGTCCCAGTCCTGTTATGTAATTTAAAAATGTTCCCAATGGTCTCAGTAATGTCTGTTAGAGCAGTTCGGGGGCAGGTGGGTGGTGTCAGGTCCCAGTCCAGGATCACATTTTGCATTTAGTTGTCATGTCTCTTTGGTGTCTTGTAAGCTGGTACATTTCCTCAGTCTGCCTTTATCTTTCATGGCCTTGACATTTTTGAAGAGTACAGTCTAGATGTTTTGTGATGTATTCCTCAATGGATCTGTCTGATATTTCTTCATGATTAGATTCATTTTGGCAGAATAAGAAGAGACAAATTACATCCTTTTCAAGGTTCCCTGGAGTGACCAGCAAGTTAAAAAAAAAATTTTTTTTTTAATTTTTACTTCTGGTAAAATACACAAAACATAAAATTTACTCTCTTAGCCATTTTTAAGTGTATACTTTTGCATTGTTCAGCACATTCACATTGTGTAATCAAGCTCTAAAACACTTTGCATCTTACAAAAGTGAAACTGTACCATTTAAACAATTAATCCCCCCTCCTCCTTCCCATTATGAATGTTTTTTATTTGATTGCTTTGTTGTTTTTGTTTTGTTTCTTCTATGCCTTTATGATCATTTTCTTCCTGTATTCAAATTATGTTCGTTTTTGAAGACCTAGCTTAAACGCCACACTTTTATTAAATCTTCTCTGACTACTATATGTGTGGAAAACTTTCTTTCTTCCCTTTTGGGTTCTTTGATTGGTCTAATAATTAAATTGATATAGACAGATTAACAGGAGGAAAACTAATTTTGTGTTTATGGAAGCCCCATGGAAGATAAAACTCTCTGGCAGTCAGGTAATTGGGGCTTGTATGTCATCCTCAAGTAAGAAGAAGGGATAGGGGCCTGAGACGCCTGAGGGGAGGAATAGAGCTCAAGGAAGACAGGGAAGAGCAGTTGGCACACGGATGTGTTTGCCTTGCCATGCACATGAGTCTTCCTGACAGGGAGCTTTCTCTGGTAATAGCTCTGTTCCTGGGATAAGCCCCTATCTAAATTGTTTTAGGCAATTAAGGGAGAAGTCAAAGGCTCCTCCTGAGTCTGCTGGGTCTTCAGCTTCCAATAACCCACATGCCATGGTTGCTCCCTCCACTACTGCAGCCCACGGTGATCTGTGCTGCTGGGTTCTTTCTGTATAATGAAGTACTTAATGAATTACGTAGATTATATACTTCTTGAAAGTATGTGTTGGACTTTTTTTCTGTGTGATTTCCATCTTCTCTGGTTGTTCCTAGAATGCTGTTCCTCAAAAGCTCATTTATCCTTTACAGTGCAACTCAAATGCCACCACATTAGCACATCCTTCCCAGACTCCCTGTCCCCGGATGAATTTCCTCCCCTCAGAATTAATTGTAATGCCTTCTCTGCTCCTTGTTTGTTTACATATCCATTCACGTGCATGTCAGAGTCTAGCTTGTGTTTTCCATTAGATTTTGGACATGTATAGGATAGGGATGGTATTTTATTCATCAGTGTATCCTTACGGCCCACTACAGGGTATTGCAAGTTGCTAGTGTATAATGAGGACAAGGATCTATTTTATAGACTGCTAGTTCCTTAACTGCCAGCACCTATAGAAAGTCTAAATAATTACTGAATAACTTGAATGAATAATTTGGGTTGAATTGGCTGTCTTTTCTGTAGGTATTCTTACAAGTGCTAAATTTATGTTTGGATGGAATAGTAAAAAAAATAACACTTGCATGAGTCAGAGACTTGGTGGAATAATTTGAAGATGGTCTTTTTTTTTAAGTTAGGCTAGAAATCTAAGTTGGAGTCATGTTAATCACCACACTGGAAGGCCTTTTGAATAAATGAAATATTAAAATTTAAATCTCCGTACATGATAGTATCTTCTATGAGTTTTTTCTACCTTTTTCATCTATAGTCTTAAATTTTTTACCTATAAAACATACTAATTTTTGCACTATTTTCTGTGGATTAGGTGGATTTTATTTTGTTAGGTGGTGATCTTTTTCATGAAAATAAACCCTCAAGAAAAACATTACATACCTGCCTCGAGTTATTAAGAAAATACTGCATGGGTGATCGTCCTGTACAGTTTGAAATTATCAGCGATCAGTCAGTCAACTTTGGTTTTAGTAAGTAAGTATATTTAAGTACTTATGTGAATGTAGTGAGTGAGAGCTGGGATTTTAAATCATTTGCATCCCAAAGGGAATATGTTTCACCTCTCCCCCTTCTACAAATAAAAGCCTTACACAAAGTCTTTTAAAAATTTGAAAGCTTATTAACTTCCCATTAATGAGATACACCACTCATAATTCTCAGGGTTCACATATTGCAGTGTTTTCTTTAAAGTGTGGTACTTTGAGATAATTTCAGCTTGAATTGAAATGAATTGTTGCCTATGCTTTTAATTTTTTAAAGCTCCCAACTAGTAGAAGTTTGTTAGCTTAAATCATACAGTTTGCCTATAACTGCATTAATTTTTTGGAAATGGATATTGGGGAAAACAACTTTCATCTTTTACAGAAACTTTGATAAACTTTTTTTTTTTTTTAAGGTTTCCATGGGTGAACTACCAGGATGGCAATCTCAACATTTCGATTCCGGTGTTTAGTATTCATGGCAATCACGATGATCCCACAGGGGTAATTGCTGGATTCCTACATTTTGTAGAAATTTTAGAGCTGATCAGTTTAGTTTGTCAGTGGAAAGCATTCTTCTCTTCCTTTCCAGCAACTTTTAGCCAAACTGAGTCAAAAACTCAAATTGACTTTTTATCATTCTTATAAGCTTTTATACTGCTTTTTAGATAATTTTTTAAAAATATGGAGGAATAGTTGGTATGTGAGTAACCAGGAGTAGTAATAAACATATAACATTTGTATCATGCTTTATAGTTAACCATGTGCTTTTGTATCTCTTATTTCTTAAAATCTCACCTGTAGGAAATGATTGTTTCATGAACAGTTTTAAATATAAATTAGATCATCTTATTACTTTATTTGTTTTATATGGACATAATAATAGAGGTCTTAAACTCAAAATGTCTTTTTATCTGGTCACTAATACTATAAATCACTAGTTATCCTTTTTTCAATGTCTTAACAGTTCTCCTTAATATTATAAGGCACTTATTTCATGGCTGGTTTTTTCAGTGGCCAAGACATGATAAGTTTTTTGGTTTTTTTTAACAATGTTTTTTATTAAGGTATTATTGATATCCACTCTTATGAAGGTTTCACATGAGAAACAATGTGGTTACTACATTCACCCATATTATTGAGTCCTCCCCGTGCCCCATTGCAGTCACTGTCCATCGCTGTAGTAAGATGCCACAGAGTCACTACTTGTCTTCTCTGTGCTACACTAAGATATGTTAAGTTTTGATGAAACATGTATTTTGCTTTTAGCATTTGGTTCCTATTGAGTAGGTCATTTTTAATTGAAAAAAGGTAGCAAATACTTTTACTATTGTAATTTTGTTTTGACTATCCTAATGTATATTTTTGTAACTAGTATATAGGATATACTTTTAATAGGTAATAATATGAAATGCAGATGATGTACTTTTATATACACATTAATATTTTTTGGAAATATTTTGCACAGGCAGATGCACTCTGTGCCCTGGATATTTTAAGTTGTGCTGGATTTGTAAATCACTTTGGACGTTCAATGTCTGTGGAGAAGATAGACATAAGTCCTGTTTTGCTCCAAAAAGGAAGCACAAAAATGGCTCTATATGGCTTAGGTAAGATGGCTTTATTTTACTATTCATGTCAATAAATATTTAATTGTTTAAACAATTGTGAAATCACATTCTGGAATTATTTTTGTTGCTTTTGGAAAAGGCAAATCTAATTATTCCTTATAGGTGGTTATAAAAAATGGTAGAAGATTCTGGTAAAAATTTTTTAGTATTTAATAAGGACCAACAGCCTTTCATACTTATTTTTAATAGCAGTTTTGGTGAAAAAATATTTTCCTTTAGTATCTGTTCGTTGTTTGTTTTTTCTTTCTTTTTGACTCAGGTACATAATCCTGAGCATTAGAATTACAGAATAATTTGTAGAACTGCATTTTGATAGCTTGAAACTCTTTGAAAGGTCCAAAGTTTCACTGCCCAGCATGGTAACCACTAGCTTCATGTAGATATTCAATACTTGAAATGTGGCTAATCTGAATTGAGAAATGTATTCCATGAGTATAAAATACACCTTGGATTTCAAAGATTTATAAAAAATTATAAAATACCTTATTAATATGTTGGGCTAAATAAAATTAATTTCACCTGTTTCTTTTTACTTGTTTTAATGAGGCTACAAGAAAATTTTAGATAATATATTTGGCCTGCTTTAGTGGTTCAGTTATATTTCCATTTGACAGCATTAGTCTAGAGCTGTCATCTGTAATGCTAAAAAAATTTGTCTATCAGTTTCACTGTCTTTAATTTATTTAGTGTCCAATAGGTAAAAGCCCATTTGCTATGCCTTATTCCGTATGGGTGAAAGATCAGAGACTATTTTTAGAGTGCATTAAAAGTCTGTTTCTTATGTTTTCTTGGATCAAGTGCAGCTTGGTATTTGTTTTATGAATGTAATAGCAGTATTGTTTCTGTTGTGTATAGAGTATTACAAAAATTATATTCCATGTTAAATCAGCCTTAAAGTACCGTGAGAAAAATTGGAAAAAATATTTAACACTGTAGCCTCAACATCACTTTTATAATTCTTTGACTAATGCAATATAATAGAAGCCATAGAAAATCTTATGTATATAAATTTTCTTTGCCTATGTTTTTAAGAGAATAATTATGATGGATGGTTTATTTAAATACTTTGTCTAGGGAGCTTATAGTCTTTGTCCAGTTTTCATAATTTATCTAACAAGTAGAGATCATAATTATATTTTACAGATGTGGAAAATGGAATCAAGATACTGTGTCTAATTTTGCAGGTGATAGAGCAGGAAGTAAAACAGGTTTTTTGTTTTTTTTTAAATTTTGGTATCATTAATGTACAATTACATGAGCAACATTATGGTTACTAGACTCCCCCCATTATCAAGTCCCCACCACATACCCCATTACAGTCACTGTCCATTAGGACAGTAAGATGCTGTAGAATCACTACCTGTCTTCTCAGTGTTATATTGCCTTCCCTAAGCCCCCCCCCCACTACATTATGTGTGTTAATCGTAATGCCCCTTTTTTCCCCTTATCCCTCCCTTCCCACCCATCCTCCCCAGTCCCTTTCCCTTTGGTAACTCATAGTCCATTCTTGGGTTCTGTGAGTCTGCTGCTGTTTTGTTCCTTCAGTTTTTTCTTTGTTCTTATATTCCACAGGTGAGTGAAATCATTTGCTACTTATCTTTCTCTGCCTGGCTTATTTCACTGAGGATAATACCCTCTAGCTCCATCCATGTTATTGCAAATGGTAGAATTTGTTTTCTTCTTATGGCTGAATAATACTCCATTGTGTATATGTACCACATCTTCTTTATCCATTCATCTACTGATGGACACTTAGGTTGCCTCCATTTCTTGGCTATTGTAAATAGTGCTGCGGTAAACATAGGGGTGCATCTATCTTTTTGAAACTGGACTCCTGCATTCTTAGGGTAAATTCCTAGGAGTGAATTCCTGGGTCAAATGGTATTTCTATTTTTAGTTTTTTGAGGAACCTCCGTACTGCTTTCCACAATGGTTGAACTAATTTACATTCCCACCTGCAGTGTAGGAGGGTTCCCCTTTCTCCATGTCTTGCCAACATTTGTTGTTGTTTGTCTTTTGGATGGTAGCCATCCTTACTGGTGTGAGGTGATATCTCATTGTGGTTTTAATTTGCATTTCTCTGATGATTAGCAATGTGGAGCAACTTTCCATGTGCCTGTTGGCCACCTGAATTTCTTCTTTGGAGAAATGTCTGTTCAAATTCTCTTCCCATTTTTAAATTGGATTATTTGCTTTCTGTTTTTTGAGGTGTGTGAGCTTTTATATATTTTGGGTGTCAACTCCTTATCAGATATGTCATTTATGAATATATTCTCCCATATTGTAGGTAGGATGCCTTTTTGTTCTACTGATGGTGTCCTTTGCTGTACGGAACCTTTTTTAGTTTGATATAGTCTAAAACACGTTTTTTAAAAAAGCTACTAAAAGGCATTTTAATCACTCTAATGTTAGGGGTCATAACTGATAATGCTTCCTTCAGTCACTGCCAGACACACACCACTTCTGTCATCCCATTTTTCCCAAACTCTCACCTCACCTTGTTCTCCTTTCCTTAACTGGACTCTTACCTCTTCCATCCACCCCCGCTCGCCCCAACCCTTCTCTGTACACTCTAGAACTCTTTTATAGTTAGCATATCCTCTCTTACCATCAGTTTCTTCTCTGAATGGTGACTCTTCTGTCTGACCTTCAGTAAAACCAGCTGGCCCCTGAGGTGGCTGTGTCCTGCACAGCTCCCTCGTGGCCTCTTAGGGGCTTAAGGGCAGGAGGGGTGACAGCTGCACTGTTCTCCTTGCTCTCCGCTGCCACTTCCTTTCCTGCCTGCAAACACTGTAACCTTTGAAGCTACTTGCCAGCTGGTTAAACTGCCCTCCCCTCCCTCAAATATTGTATCTGTCTACTTTTAATTTATGTCAGTGTTCTCAGTGCTTCAACACTGAAGCAGAGCAGTCGTCTAATTCCCTGGACTTTGTATGCTTCGACTTTGTTGTGCCCAGTTGTATGTTCTGCATTCCACCATCTAGTCCACTGGCCACGTTCGAGGAGTTCTCTGTAGAAGCTAGACCTCTGCCAGCTCTCATACTCCTGCATTGTTGGCTTTTCTTCCAAGGGGTTCCCCAGTCACTACATGAAGCAGCAACCTTTTCCCCCACTGATGTCCCTATCTTAGAATGCTTTTCCCCTTTTATGGTATTTAAAATTTAATATGTTTTTGTTGGCCTCCTCCACTAGACTGAAGTGATCCTTTGGGGTGTGGAAAGAATTATTTAAAAGTCATTAAGTTATTAAAAAGCACAGTGTTTTTATTTTTTTAAATATGTGAGATTATTTTTAAATACATTTATTTTTCATCTCATCCTTTTAATATCTTTCTGTGTATTTTATAACACATACAATATGTTAGATACAAATTACATATATACTTATAATAAAAGGATAATGAAAACATTATTAGAAATTTTAATAAGAATTTAAACATAGAAAAAAACTCAAGTGTTTATTCAACATTTCCCAGATTTTGAAAGTATATATGCTTGATATGGTAAACATTCTTTGGATGCAGCAGCTGCTCAGCAGCTGTCATGCAAGAACCTGGAACATACTCATTTGTAAATAATGATTCCAGATTTCAAATATATCTCTAACAGGGTATAGAGAAGTACCTATATCTGTTGGCCGTTTTGTATTTCTTCTTTGGAAATATGAAATACTCAGAGAAGCACATAATTTAGAAGTAAAACCTAAACATTTTTTAAAATGAAGTAAGAAAACAGGTTTAAAATAATATAATGTCCATTTCAGGGTCCATTCCAGATGAAAGGCTCTATCGAATGTTCGTCAATAAAAAAGTATCAATGTTGAGGCCAAAAGAAGATGAGAACTCTTGGTTTAACCTGTTTGTGATTCATCAGAACAGGTAAAAGTATTCTCTGAAAATTTTTGAGTCACATATTGAGGTTCCCCAAATCTCTTTCCAAACTTAAGTATTTTCATTCATATGTTCCTCTTTGAAAGTTGTCAGTGCAGGATCAGATAGAACTTAGATATGCTTTGTGTCACTGCATTTTGAAACTGTTTTCAATATACATTCATACTATTAAAAGAAAATTTACAGCATATGGATAAGATATAAGAATAACCATAAGATGAACACTCCTAAATTCAGCAGAGAAGTGGTACATAACCAGTACATTACCCCATGCCCTTCCCAGAGCCCATCTCTGTCCACACTCCCCAGAGAGCAGCACTGTGTTCAGTTTTTATTTCATCAGTCCATTGCTTTTCTTTATTGTTTAATCACATATATATCTATAATGAGTATTTTATTTAGTTTTGGTTTAGCTGGAACCATGCTGTTGTTTGGCAGCTGGCTTATTACGTAAGTTCAATGTTACATTACTAAGATTCATCCATTTTGATGCTTGTAAGTGTAATTCATTTTCACTGATGTATACAGTTAGACTATTCTCCTGTTGGTTTTTTATTTTCAGATTGGCTTTTTTAAACATTTTTGTTATGAACATTCTTATACATATCTCCTGATGCATATATGAATATTTAATATAGCTGAATCAGCTCTCAGTTGTTTGTAGCTTTAGGAAGTTTAATCTGTCGGTAGGCTGCAGGATTGATTGAAAGGAAGACTTGGAGATGCAAGATTTATTATGGGATCACTGCAGGAAAAAGGTGTGAGCTGATGACAGTGATGGCAGTGACAATGGTAGGGAAGAGACAAACCTGAGAAGTTATTAAGGAAGAATCCAAAGGGATTTGGGCCTGATTACCTAATTTATTATTTATTGAACAGATTTTTTTGAATGCAGAATAGTCTGGTTTCTCCACTCTAAAGGTTCCATTTTCTACTTTATAATTAATAATTACTTGGGAACAATGCTTTGAGACTATGTGAATATCCTGTTTCGCCTTAAACTTTTCTCACTAATGTTAGACATCAGTAAATCTTGTTTTCCACAATTAACACTTGTGTTTTAACTGTGATTTTTTTGTTTGTTTCCCTTATTCTTTCTGCATTTATTAATTGAAATTCTACTCTAATGGAGATTTGTCCTTACAAATTATTTATTCATCCATTTATTTATTTAGGTTATTATGGACTCAAGAATATTTACTTTATTCTTTAAGTTATAATTCAGTACTATCAGTTTTTTTTGTTGTTGCTCAACTGTTCCAGCTTTGACCATTGGGAGCTTTTTTATATTGGCTTCTGTGTCTTTCAATGTACCCTTTTACTTTTTGGTTCTGAGCATGTCCTTAACTTGCTAGTCCCACAAGATGCTCCAGGCCCTTCTTGTATTTTTCTGCGTCAGCGCTGGAATCCAGCACTTCTCCAAGGAGCCCTGATTACTTTTCTTGGAAACCCTGATATGGCCACTAGATGTGCTTGTTGCTGCTGGGACTCTCTTAGCCCTCCATGATCAGAGTTTACAAAGTATATGTGTATACATACATTCTAACATATGCATTCACATTTCTGTATCTGTACATGTGTTTAAAAAAACTAACAAACAAGCATGAGCTCATAGTGATTCCAATCCAGCCCTCCAGGTTTGTTTTTGTTTCTCCATTTCCTTAATTGTGACTTCTTTCTCCAACCTGTATCATATTATCTAACAATGTATTTACTTGTACAGAGTAATTTTTAAATTGCTGACTAGTACCCCTGTGTGAAGCAAATTTGCCAATTAGTGTACAGTGTTTGTTTAAGCTATATTAGCCTTCAGCCTTATCATATCCAGTTAAAACACCATTTTCCAAACTTAGCAGCCCCCTTTCCCCTCCACCCTCTCCACTGATTGTGTAATTATTTTGTAATACTGTTAGTTCATTTATACCCTCTGCATCCTTCCCTTTGTTACTGCTTACAGGGGCTTATGAAAGATAGGTTTTCTCTAATTTAAATGAGAATTCTTGAGCCTTTTACATTTTACTTTATTTCCTGTTGGTTCTGTGAAAGACACGTTTCTTTCTCTTGCTTCAGAAAAAGGTAGACTCTGAAGCAGAAGAGGACTTTGTCATGTAAAATATTCCCATAAGGACATTTTGATAACTTCTAGGTCACAAGTCAGCGTCATCCTATCAGCATAATCTTCCCTCTTCCATCAAAGAGTCGGTGTACCATGAAGGCACAATGGCAGCACGTTGTATTCGAGTTACTCTTGTGTTTCTTCAGTGATTGTGATAATATCATATCCTAGAAACATGTCTTTTACATACAAATATTCCTAGATACATGAACCAGCTGCTTCTCTGATTTCGCTTCCTGCTCTTCCCTGCATTTATCCTTCTCAGCCATCCTGACCTTGCTGGTCTTGAACTTCCTGAACACCTTTGCTATCTGCTCATTCCTGATCTATTTTCTTCCTGTGCATGCTTCATCTCTTATCTGTGTTCTGTGCTCATTTGCCATCTGTCAGAGAGACCTTTCCTGACACTGTTTATAGTAGCACCCCCATCCATGTCATTTTTTGCTTTTCTTTACTGCACTTACCAGTACACATACATAAACATACACATGTTGTATTATTGCTTGTTTACCTCACTAGAGCAAGGACTTTGTTCACTGTTGTGTTTTCAGTATCCAGAAGAAGACTGGGACACTTGGCACATAGACAGTAAATGTTTACTGAATGAATGAGTATCAATTTACCTTAAGGGGTGGTAGATTGAAGTATTTGAATACTTACTTAAATTCTCATGAATGTTAAGTCAGTGTTAAGGAAAGATTTTCCTCCTTGTCTTTCCTGCCTTTGAGTTTTCACATATCTTTTAATAATTACAAGTAATTGAGGTAAAAGCCAGAGTTTGCAAGTCATTTATTCATACAATACAATATTTTATTTAATATTAAATACTCTTTTATGTAAGACTGACGTTCTTACTCCTGTTATAATCAGTAAACAGAATAGATGTTAAAAAATGACCAGACGTATTTAGAAATTTGTTTTTATTCTACAAAATTTAGACTTAACTCACTTTAATTTTCTCTATTCTTTTTGGGGATTAACTAATCAGACCAGTATACAGGCTTTTACTATTTGATAGAGGTCATGCTTTTCTAACTTTGCCATAGGGGGAGTCACTCCTCTAAAGTTTTTTATGATCTGTCTCTAAAGGTAGAATTGATTGCTTTCTCTTTTGGTGCTCCTATTTGTCTGTGGTCTGCAAGTTTGCAGACCCTTTAAAGGGCAGGAATTAGATACTATGTTTGCATCCCCAATCCCTTGAGTAATTTCTGGCACATAGAAGGGATGTAATAAATCTTCAATGAGTGGAGGAAGATCTGCACTGACTTACTTAATATGAATTTTTTCTCTCTCTCTGGATATTTATGCAATTTATTTTTTAAAATCTTGGTATAGGAGTAAACATGGAAATACTAACTTCATTCCAGAACAATTTTTGGATGACTTCATTGATCTTGTAATCTGGGGCCATGAACATGAATGTAAAATAGCTCCAACCAAAAATGAGCAACAACTCTTTTATGTATCACAACCTGGAAGTTCGGTGGTCACTTCTCTTTCCCCAGGAGAATCTGTAAAGAAGTGAGTAGTTGGTATATTTTCCAAAACAATTAAAAAAAAAAGTTGTTATAATAATCTGATCATCCCATAGGTTCAAGGTACAGATGGTATTGTTGTTTATATGATAGATTTATTTATGAAGATTGATATAGTCTTACTATTTTCTCAGATTTTAAGCTTTTTCAACAGGAGCATCCCAGTGGTGTTAATGATTTTGCTGCTATTAGGCAAATTCAAAGCTAACATTTTTACTATAATTAAATTTCAAGTTAGAGTACTATGGATTATAATTACCAAATTCACAAAGTCCATTTATAAACAGATTTAACTAAAGACATTTAATTAAGATTGTTCTGGTTATAAATGCAATATTATAACATATCTCATTTCTTTTAATTCTTTAGGGGAATTATGTGATGAAGTAATAATACTGATGAAACTCAATTTTTATAATGGGTTTTGTCCTTTGAGCCACTCAGATTTTAATTGTTACGATGATAATAATAGGTTTAAAAAATATGGTGGTAGGATTTCAGTTTGTTGGTTTTGTCTTCCTAGTTCTACTGCTACTTTATTTCATGTATGTGTGTGTGTGTATGTATATATATATATATATATATATATATATATATATATATATATATATACATGTGTTAAAAAAAATTAACAACTTGTCTTTTAATTGAACCTTGAACAACAATTGAGAACTCTTCGATAATTTATACAGTTAGGGGCACTGACCACCCCCATGCCTTTGATAACCATGTATGACTTTTGACACCCCAAAAATTTAACTACTAATAACCTACTGTTGACCAGAAGCCTTACTCATAACATATACAGTTGATTAAAACATACTTTGTAAGTTATATATATTTATATACATGTATTCTTAATAAAATATCTAGAGAAAGAAAATGTTTTTTCAAACTCACAAATCTCCAAAAACTTTTCAAATGTATTTATTGAAAAAATCTGGATATGAGGACCCACAGTTTAAACCTATGTTCAAGGATCAGCTGTACTATGTATACTACCATAGTCCTGATAACATTTTATTATGCTTATCATACATCTGTCTTCCCTCACTAAACTATATTTGTTCAGAAAGAATAAGTGATGGATGAGTGGATTTTATTCTGGGGAAAAAGAATGTTTCTTTTTTCCTGTGATATAGCATTAAGATTAAATTGCTTAAAATATTTCTTAAGAGTATGATTTTATGAAGAAATGCTTTATGGAAAATGAAAATTGTTCTGATGCATTTTCCTGGAGAAATCAACAATGTAACTAAGTTTTATGTTTCCCTCCCCACTCCAGACATGTTGGTTTGCTGCGTATCAAAGGAAGGAAGATGAATATGCAAAAAATTCCTCTTCACACGGTGCGGCAGTTCTTTATGGAAGATATTGTTCTGGCTGATCATCCAGACATTTTTAACCCAGATAACCCTAAAGTAACCCAAGCCATTCAAAGCTTCTGTTTGGAGAAGGTGATTCTTCTAGATCAAGGTCAATGAGATTTGCTTAGTTGAGAGGTTCTTTACGTTGAATTAAATACTTGAGTAGAGTAGAGGGAAGTCAGATCTGTCACATTCTCATGAGGCCTGTAAGGAACCTCTGTTGTTCATTGAATGAGTTTAGTTGTATCAAAGTTTGTTTGTTTTTTAAATCTTGGAGATGGAGAAATGTTATATGTAGTAGAAACTTTGCTTAATTAAGCCCTTCTCCCAGTTCCTTTCCTCCTTCTGAAAAACATATACATAATCTTTTCTCTCTTTTTATCCTGATTGGATAATTTGTTCATTCTTTTTATGAAAGCAGATGGTAAGATTGCTTTGACTAGGGGATTGCAGGGTACTCTGGTGGATGAGGAGAATCTCCATCAGGCATCCCTTCCATCCTAAAAGCTACCCCAAATTAAATCTTAAAATGTTATTACCATACACCTTATAGCTTCAGCCTAAGTCCCATACCTCCCCTTGCATGCAAATTGCCACCCCTAAACCTCTGCAGAAATTATAGAGCCATTACTGAAGTTGAGGGAATGCATTAAAAATTTGTAAGTTGACAGCTTAATAACATCAGTTGTGGGCATTTGCTCAGTTCTGATTGTACTAGCACTTCTGCTTTGCATTTTATTCTTATAAAAAAATCGTATGAGGCAGGAATAATGAAAGTTATTATCACTGATGTTTATTGACTGCTTATATATTCTGGGTACCATTGATACCATTTTGCATTTAATCCTCTCAGTGCTGTAGGTGAATAGATTCTACCATCCACATTTTGTAGAATGAACAGCTGAACCTTAGATTAAATAACATGCCTAGTGTCACATCTTTACTAGCAACATGTAACTCATGTAACTGAAAAGCTTTTAAGAGTGTGCTGAGTTCAAGATGACCAGATCCAGAGACTCAAATAAAGACTGCAGGTCTCTCGTCTGTTTCTGTGTCTAGTCCCATGTCACCTGCTCTGATGGTTCTGTCTTAATCATCGCTATGAGGAAGGCATTTTTCTATGGTGGCCCACAAACTTATGTTTTCCTTTTAGCTGAGAGAATCATTTTCCCCAGGGGTTCCAGATAAACCCCTAGCACTTTCACTGAACCGAGTCATGTACTTTCCCTAAACCCAGTCTCCAAAGCCAGGGAGCTGGGAAATGAACTGATGGGCAGACCTGGGTCAGGAGCCAAGGGTCTTTCCACCTTGGCACAATTATTTTAGCCTGTGTAGTTCTTCGTTGTGCAAGGTTGTTCCGTGCATTGTAGGATTTTAATGATATCCTCTACATCCAGTACCCACTAGGGGTCAGTAGTTCCTTTCCCCCAAGTCATGATAGTATTTTTGTTTTGAGATTGAAGAAATGCTTGAAAATGCTGAACGGGAACGTCTGGGAAATTCTCAACAGCCAGAGAAGCCTCTTATACGACTGCGAGTAAGTCTTATTTAGATACATTAGACTCTATAGGTTTTCAGAGGATAGTATTATACAGTTTATGTGAATTTTTTTTGAAAAGTAGTAAGGAGAGTACAAGAGCAACTACTGCTGGGGGCAAGAATACTAAAGCTGTCAGGATTTGATCTAACCATGGTTGGATTCTGATGGGTGTAACATTTTTCCTTATTTTTCTTCTTTTCTAAACAGTGTGTTGTTACATTTAATAGGTTGGCTCTCTGACTATGACTTTCCCTGCTCTCCCTCCTCTCGCTCCATTCCACCCACCTGCTTTCGTGCAGTTCCTCAGACATATCAGAGGCACTCACCTCCTCCGTGCACACATGATCACCTCCTATGGTGAAGCCCCACCCTAAGGAAGATTGCGGCCCCATATCTTCTCTCCAACAAGCCTGATTTCATTTGCCCGCCTCTACTTGTCCTTTTTTTTCCCAGGGACACATCCTCTTAACCTACTATATATAATTTCTTTTGTTTATTATTTATCCTCAGCTACAAAACTAAGTTCCATGAAAGCATGGAACTTTGTGAATTTTGTTTACTAATGTTTCCAAAGATCCCAGAACAGTTCCTGGCATATAGCAAATGCTTGATAAATATGTTGAAAGAATTAATAAGTATTTGAGAGTATTAATCCAAAAGGTAGAAGTGCTTCCTCTGCCTGTAAACTTGCTTATATTTTCCATCATGATCATAAATACACAAGTAACAGGAGACCTCTTTTGCCCCCGTTTAGCTCTTACTCTGTCTTTCTTATTTTCATCCAAACCACTCGTATATGTATCCTGTCCTGCTCGTCTGTCATTCTGTCTCTCAGTCCACTATGATGAAAGCTCTCTGACCCCATGATCTCAGGTGGAAAAGATGGCCTTCAGTTGTCAGATCCAGCAGACTTTTTTCATCCTGCTGAATCACTTGTTGGCATTCTCTCCCTCAAGTTATGTTATCCTATCTCTTAGTTAGCCCTCTTTGCAGTCTAGACATAAAGCTTTAATGATCGTCTGTGGAGTGATGACTCCCAAATTTTTATGTCCACCTCAAGCCTCCTTGTTGAGGTCCAAGAGACCTCCCGAAGCCTGGTACTCAAGAAGTGTGGTCCTCAAGCCATCAGCTTTGGCATCGCCTGGGAAATTCTTTAAAATGCGGAATCTCAGGCCCTACATCAAACCCTCTGACTTGCGTTTGAACAAGATCCCAGGAGATTTGTATGCACATTAAAATTGAGAAGCCCTATAGTGCGGTAAAGAGTACAGCATAGAGCCACAGTGCCTCGGTTTGGCTCTGGCTCTGCCGCTAGCCATATGACCTTGAGCGACTTGGTCTCTTGTCCTTTGGTTTTCAGTGCATAAATTTACATCTCAATTAAATAGGAGCTGGTGTACAGTAAATATTCTAATAGTAAGTTTCTCTTTATCCCATTGCCATTGCTATAGTTGAACCTTAATTATCTTACCTGGCCTATAGCTGTAACTTCCTACCTGACTCTACCTCCCGTTTTCCCCTCTCCCCACCTCTAGCCTATCCACTAATGCCAAAATCATCTTTGTAAAACACAATCTTATATGTCTTTTTTTAATGGTCCCTTAGCACTAATAGGAACAAGTCTAAACTCTTCCATGGCATTCAGAGGTTTATGTGACCTGGTCTAAACCAATCTCTTTGGCTTCTACCTCCTGTTTCTGTCAGGACCTCCTAAGCTCTAGTGGTATTGGACTAAAAGTTAAGTTCCCTGGGCCCAGTGGAGTTTATTTCATTCTTTTGCATCCTTGCCCAGGCTGATCTGCTCTGTGGAGTGTATTTCTCTCTCTTCCATCATTTCCTTTTGCATCCACTTACAGCTTCCCCTCCTCAAAGAAGCCTTTCTTGACTTCCCTTCAGAGTCAGGCTTCTTCTTTTGTGTCCTCAGTCTGCTTGGAGCAACATACTTTTCACAGCACCATTCGCATTCTGCTGGCAATTATCTATATTATCTATTAACATGTTTGTTTTCCCAGTCAGCTTATGAATTTCTTGAAAGCCAAGATTATCTTTTATTTGTGATTGTTGGCCCCTAGCAGAGTACCTAACACATTGTGGGTGCTTAATAATGTTTGCTTAATGAATGAGTTTTGTGACTCTTAGGAACAGAAAATTATATACTAAGCTAGGCTGGAGTATAATTGTTAAAACATCTAAAGAGTTTTGAGAAGACCCTATAGCTTGAGCATTTAGCATTTCCTAACAGGGCAGCTGTAGAGATGGCTTAGTGAATACATAGTTGCTTTGAGAGAACCATCTCATTCTCTTGATCAGTGCAGAAGATCCCATGTTTTCATATATGTCTGCCTAATCTCACTAGAACCAACCAGATATAAATAAATTGTTAAGAGAATTGGCATTCTTTTTCCTAGACACAGTAAATTTCAAAGGAAAGAACAGATATTTTCATGTAAGTAGTATTCCAAAAAAGCATTGTATCAAGTAGAGGACATTCAGTAATTTTTTGATCAGGTGAAAGAACATTCATTGAGTACCTTCTGTTCTGCACACAGGGAGATACAATGGTGATAAATCAGATGAGGTTTTGAACTTGAGCTTACAAGAGGTGGAGGTGAGAGGAAAGACATAAAAAACAGCTAATAATTGAATAAAATGCAAGCCAGTGCTGAGTGTGATGATAAAGAGTGTAAGTTGTGTGGTTAGGGAATAGTCTGTATCAGCCAGTGCCATGGTATGTTGGTTCCCAAAGCACACTTGAGAACAGCTAGTTTAAGAAAACTATTATGTCTCTTAAAAAGAAATACAGTATTTTTCTTTGTTAAAGTCTTTGTAGCACTATAGTCTTCTTTAGAAAAGAGCATGTCTTAAGAGTGATTGTTAGTACTGTGCTTATAAGGTAATCATTAATCAAATCTCACAGATTTGATTATTTTCCTACATGGATTTCCTGGCATTTTTTCTTTTCCACTGTGAAAGCTTATTCCTAAAATGGTAGATCAGTGAACTAATGCATCCAGGGCTGGCACTTTATTATGGTGTAAAATTTTCTTTGTTTTGAAAGTTAAAAAATTTGTTTAGGAATTCCACCCCCTTTTTCAGATGGTATTCCTGGTGCCTAGATTATTAGTTATCATGGGGGGGATATAATCATTCTGACCTTGGGGAAGTTTTTGCTGTATCTTGATTCCATCAAATGTTTCACAAAGTATTTATAAACCTTTGAAGCTTTACATTCTCAGAATAAATGGTATAACACCATCATGATCTACAGCACAAATTGTGGAACATAATTTTCTTAAAGGTATTGTGCATAAATACTGAAATTGGTAAACGGTTGTTTCCCAGACTTCATAGTTTATTTTTTATTTCCAGGTGAACTATAGTGGAGGTTTTGAACCTTTCAATGTTCATCGTTTCAGCCAGAAATTTGTGGATCGGGTAGCTAATCCAAAAGATGTCATCTATTTTTTCAGGCATAGAGAACAGAAGGAAAGCACAGGTAAGTTATTTTTACAAATTAAAAAATGATCTTATAGGGTTTATGTAAATCAGTATTTACTAAAAAAAATTATAATGAAAATGTTTTAGTATGACTCTTTCTAGTATCTTAGACAAATAAACCGACAGTTGGAATAATTTAATCTCTTCTAAAAATAAGATAAATCATTTTTAAACCTGTGGATAGCAATAAGAAAATGGAAGTCTTTCTCTGCAGATGTAATTTTTTTAAACAGTGCTGCTGAGTGACACACACAGACCTTAGAGATTTATTGCTCAAAATGAAATTATTGTTTACTATACATTATTAATGGTCAGGAAAATAAACTTTCAAATTTTGCCTTATTAAGTATTTCAACTTCAGAATATACAGTGATTTAGGAAGACTCCGGTCTTTTGAAATAAGAGGTGCCTCACAGTTTGATGTTTTTGATGATCGGGTAATCTCCAATTAAATTTCATAAAAACTAATTGCACTTATTTTCGCATTTATCAAAGCAGGTCATCTGACTGGAATAGTGCTTCTTCATAAGAAAAGCTGGTCATGTTAAATATAGAGGTTATTGTGTTTGAAGTTATTGAGTTAGAGAATTTTCATCGAAATATATGGTCCTTGTTTACAAGTAAGCTACCTAGGTTTTTATTAACCTGGAGTTAATGGGCTTTTGTTTTCAATGTCAAATTATGATCAGAATCACATTGTGTATGCTGTAAATTCAGCCTGAAACAGTCATTCAGATGTTCAAATGGAGTTCATAGAATATGGTTGTAAGGGGAAAAAAAAGTCCATATTAGAAAATTACATTTCCATGCTATTTTATTATTGCTTAATTGATAGTGGTTTACTTTAATTGTCCATCCTTATCAATTCCTTGAAATTGTATGGGTGTAGCAGTCATAAGAATACAGGATACAGAACTATACCTTATATTACATCAGTTGTCAGTTTTGTTCTAATGATTCCTTGTTTGTTTAAACATGAATTACTGAATAGAAACAATGGCCTTCTTGTGTGTTTAATTGAAAGCATTTTTGTTGTTTTGGCCAGCTCTGCTTCTTAACTAAATATGTGATGCTGTGCTGTTTAGTTTTCTTGTGTGTCAAATGAGGCTAATAACTATGCCTCCTAGGATTGTTGTGAGGATTAAATAATGTGCCGTGTGTAAATGGTCTTGACAGTGTCTGGCCCAGTAAAATGTGGTAATCATTTTATGGAGTCATATGAATTCTACTGTCTTAAAATGCAAAAAAGAATTCTAGTTCACTTGTCCTGACCACTTTGCAACAGGCACGCCAAGCTTTTTGCTTCTTTACGCTTTAAAGTGTTGCATATACCTAAAATATTTTTATTTTTCCCTTTTTGCTTAGTGAATCGTATTCCTTCTACAAATCTTGATTCAAATAATAGCTGCATGTGGTATCACAACATTATTTTCACCCTTAACTGAGAATTAGTTTATTTCCTCTCTGTGTGTCCTATTCTCTATTCTGGCCTCTGTTGTAGCACTTACCATCTTATATTGTAATTGTTCTCATGGGCAAGGATCCTATCTTTTTATCATTGTGTTTTCAAATACCAGGTCCAACATGTGCTACCCAGTTAATATTTGTGATAACATAATATATAATAATAAATAACCTGGCACAAAAAATAACCTGACAAAGGTTATTAGCAAAGCAGAGCTTGACTTTGAACCCAGGATTCTTTTTATTCTTTAGCTACTGTTTTCGAGACAACCATTCCACTTAGGAATGCAGCAAAAGTGCATTCAGCAGACATTACATCTGTCTTCTAGAATATTAAAAAGACACGAACTTAAGGGCTGAGATTTAATTAACACTTTATAGTGTTTTGCCAAGGACATCTTATGTGAAACTGGCTTTTTTGGGTTTTTTGAACTGTGAGTGTGTGTTGGTCACTATTAGTAGAGTTCTGAGCACTGCCTTGACTCATCGTGAGGCACCGGCAGCTTTACCCATGATTGCTTTTGTATCATCAGAGCAAATGCCAATATAGTGGAAAAGGTGAATAATATCTTTGTATTGTTATGGAATTGTCTTGTTATGAAACTTAATGACCTTGAGCACCCCCTGAAATAGTCTCAGGGTCCCCCCAAGGTCTGTGGACCACTCTGTGGTGCAGGAGACACACTACTTGGAGATACAAAAAAAAAAAAAAAATTCAGACTTTGGAGAAAGGACTGTGGCTGCTGGCAAAAAGCTCAGTCATGTTTTTGCCTCAAAATTTACCACATTAAGCAAGTTGGCAGTGGATAAAGTTTGGCCATATCTCCTCCACTGACAGCAACCTGCTGTAAGTTTGGTCACTTTAACATTATAGTAGAAGTTCCTACATATTTCATGGACTTCCTTTTTCTAGGAGAAGAGATCAACTTTGGGAAATTCATCACAAAACCTTCAGAAGGAACAACTCTCAGGGTAGAAGACCTTGTAAAACAGTATTTTCAAACTGCAGAGAAGGTAATTTCTTAATTACAGTCCACATTTGAATAGTTGCTATCTTATAACAACAGGTTATATATATATATATAATTGATAGTATAAACAAAAGGGATCCTGAAAATGTTTTTGTGGAGTAAGTAAAGTGACAGTTACATTCATTTATAGTTATAATACATCAAAAAAATAAGTGATTAGTGTAACTCCGGGGGAAAATCCCGGGGCAAAATACCTTTGAAACCGAAATCAGTTAAAGGGAGAAACAAAGTTTAAGAAACCCGTTTATTGCTTACAAGCAGTTGTCTCGAGTCTCTCTCGACCTGCTGCCACAGCTGAGCCAAAAACTCCACCCCACCTCTCCAGTCCTTCACTGGCCCTTGTAGTTACTTGATATGGCGATGGACTACCACTCTTCACCCCTTGGAAACACCTATTGATTTGGAGATGCACTAAAGCCAGGCAAGAGATTCTGGAAATACTGCAATTTTATCCACACTTAGTTAATATTAGTTATCAATATTATTATTATCCTATTATTGTTGATGTTGTTAATCCTCTTAGTTTGTTTTTATCTCTAATGCGTAAGTCTGATTCCAGGAGATACTTATTTTGTATGTGTATGTAATTTCAGAATTAGCCATAGGATAGTGAGTATACTGTCATGAGTATTTGCCACTTTAAGATCTGGTTTAATTAGTTTCTTATTGTTACTGAAATAAATCTCCACAAACTTAGTGTTGTAAAACAGTACGCATTTATTATCTTATAGTTCTGTAGGTCAGAACTTTGACACACACAGACCTTAGAGATTTATTGCTCAAAATGAAATTATTGTTTACTATACATTATTAATGGTCAGGAAAATAAACTTTCAAATTTTGCCTTATTAAGTATTTCAACTTTAGAATATACAGTGATTTAGGAAGACTCCGGTCTTTTGAAATAAGAGGTGCCTCACAGTTTGATGTTTTTGATGATCGGGTAATCTCCAATTAAATTTCATAAAAACTAATTGCACTTATTTTCGCATTTATCAAAGCAGGTCATCTGACTGGAATAGTGCTTCTTCATAAGAAAAGCTGGTCATGTTAAATATAGAGGTTATTGTGTTTGAAGTTATTGAGTTAGAGAATTTTCATCGAAATATATGGTCCTTGTTTACAAGTAAGCTACCTAGGTTTTTATTAACCTGGAGTTAATGGGCTTTTGTTTTCAATGTCAAATTATGATCAGAATCACATTGTGTATGCTGTAAATTCAGCCTGAAACAGTCATTCAGATGTTCAAATGGAGTTCATAGAATATGGTTGTAAGGGGAAAAAAAAGTCCATATTAGAAAATTACATTTCCATGCTATTTTATTATTGCTTAATTGATAGTGGTTTACTTTAATTGTCCATCCTTATCAATTCCTTGAAATTGTATGGGTGTAGCAGTCATAAGAATACAGGATACAGAACTATACCTTATATTACATCAGTTGTCAGTTTTGTTCTAATGATTCCTTGTTTGTTTAAACATGAATTACTGAATAGAAACAATGGCCTTCTTGTGTGTTTAATTGAAAGCATTTTTGTTGTTTTGGCCAGCTCTGCTTCTTAACTAAATATGTGATGCTGTGCTGTTTAGTTTTCTTGTGTGTCAAATGAGGCTAATAACTATGCCTCCTAGGATTGTTGTGAGGATTAAATAATGTGCCGTGTGTAAATGGTCTTGACAGTGTCTGGCCCAGTAAAATGTGGTAATCATTTTATGGAGTCATATGAATTCTACTGTCTTAAAATGCAAAAAAGAATTCTAGTTCACTTGTCCTGACCACTTTGCAACAGGCACGCCAAGCTTTTTGCTTCTTTACGCTTTAAAGTGTTGCATATACCTAAAATATTTTAATTTTTCCCTTTTTGCTTAGTGAATCGTATTCCTTCTACAAATCTTGATTCAAATAATAGCTGCATGTGGTATCACAACATTATTTTCACCCTTAACTGAGAATTAGTTTATTTCCTCTCTGTGTGTCCTATTCTCTATTCTGGCCTCTGTTGTAGCACTTACCATCTTATATTGTAATTGTTCTCATGGGCAAGGATCCTATCTTTTTATCATTGTGTTTTCAAATACCAGGTCCAACATGTGCTACCCAGTTAATATTTGTGATAACATAATATATAATAATAAATAACCTGGCACAAAAAATAACCTGACAAAGGTTATTAGCAGAGCAGAGCTTGACTTTCAACCCAGGATTCTTTTTATTCTTTAGCTACTGTTTTCGAGACAACCATTCCACTTAGGAATGCAGCAAAAGTGCATTCAGCAGACATTACATCTGTCTTCTAGAATATTAAAAAGACACGAACTTAAGGGCTGAGATTTAATTAACACTTTATAGTGTTTTGCCAAGGACATCTTATGTGAAACTGGCTTTTTTGGGTTTTTTTGAACTGTGAGTGTGTGTTGGTCACTATTAGTAGAGTTCTGAGCACTGCCTTGACTCATCGTGAGGCACCGGCAGCTTTACCCATGATTGCTTTTGTATCATCAGAGCAAATGCCAATATAGTGGAAAAGGTGAATAATATCTTTGTATTGTTATGGAATTGTCTTGTTATGAAACTTAATGACCTTGAGCACCCCCTGAAATAGTCTCAGGGTCCCCCCAAGGTCTGTGGACCACTCTGTGGTGCAGGAGACACACTACTTGGAGATACAAAAAAAAAAAAAAAATTCAGACTTTGGAGAAAGGACTGTGGCTGCTGGCAAAAAGCTCAGTCATGTTTTTGCCTCAAAATTTACCACATTAAGCAAGTTGGCAGTGGATAAAGTTTGGCCATATCTCCTCCACTGACAGCAACCTGCTGTAAGTTTGGTCACTTTAACATTATAGTAGAAGTTCCTACATATTTCATGGACTTCCTTTTTCTAGGAGAAGAGATCAACTTTGGGAAATTCATCACAAAACCTTCAGAAGGAACAACTCTCAGGGTAGAAGACCTTGTAAAACAGTATTTTCAAACTGCAGAGAAGGTAATTTCTTAATTACAGTCCACATTTGAATAGTTGCTATCTTATAACAACAGGTTATATATATATATATAATTGATAGTATAAACAAAAGGGATCCTGAAAATGTTTTTGTGGAGTAAGTAAAGTGACAGTTACATTCATTTATAGTTATAATACATCAAGAAAAATAAGTGATTAGTGTAACTCCGGGGGAAAATCCCGGGGCAAAATACCTTTGAAACCGAAATCAGTTAAAGGGAGAAACAAAGTATAAGAAACCCGTTTATTGCTTACAAGCAGTTGTCTCGAGTCTCTCTCGACCTGCTGCCACAGCTGAGCCAAAAACTCCACCCCACCTCTCCAGTCCTTCACTGGCCCTTGTAGTTACTTGATATGGAGATGGACTACCACTCTTCACCCCTTGGAAACACCTATTGATTTGGAGATGCACTAAAGCCAGGCAAGAGATTCTGGAAATACTGCAATTTTATCCACACTTAGTTAATATTAGTTATCAATATTATTATTATCCTATTATTGTTGATGTTGTTAATCCTCTTAGTTTGTTTTTATCTCTAATGCGTAAGTCTGATTCCAGGAGATACTTATTTTGTATGTGTATGTAATTTCAGAATTAGCCATAGGATAGTGAGTATACTGTCATGAGTATTTGCCACTTTAAGATCTGGTTTAATTAGTTTCTTATTGTTACTGAAATAAATCTCCACAAACTTAGTGTTGTAAAACAGTACGCATTTATTATCTTATAGTTCTGTAGGTCAGAACTGTGACACCAATCTCACTGGATGAAAGTCAGGGTGTCAGCAGAGGCGTTATGTTCCTTCCTGGAGGCTCTAGGGGTGAATCGATTACGTTTTTTTTTCCAGCTTCTAGAGCTGCCCACATTTCTTGGCTCATTGCCCCTTTTCCACCTTCAAAGCCAGCACTGTTGTGTCTCTCTGGCCATTTTCCCCCAGTTACATCACCCTCTGACTCTTCGGCTCCCTCTTCCACGTTTAAGGATGCTCTGGTTATCCTGGGCCCACTGGACAGTCCCTGATAATCTGATTTTACAGCCAGCTTCATTCTGTCTGTAGCCTCCATTCTCCTTTGCCATGTAACATACTCATAGACCGCAGAGATTAGGATGTGGATATATGTTCGGGGCCATTGTTCTGCCTACCACACTGGCTAACCTAATCTCTTAATCATCAGCTGCCATTTCTAATTCTGTCTCCCAGCCAGGTAGGCCTCTTCATTTTCACCTGTCTTAGGCTCTACTCCTATTTCTTGTCTTTGCTTTTTCTGACCCTTAATATTTATCTGTAGGCTTAATCGCTGCCCAGTGTTTCATTTTGTTTTGTTTTCCTTTCAATCACTAGATAACATTTTTGTCTTTTCCCTGGTACTGGTTCTGTAATATCCCTGGCTGATAAAAAATTATTTTAAAAAGAGTAGATACTATTTTCTGCCATCCAGTGATTCGTATCTCTTGCAGAATGTGCAGCTCTCACTTCTAACAGAAAAGGGAATGGGTGAAGCAGTACAAGAATTTGTGGACAAGGAAGAAAAAGATGCCATAGAGGAGTTAGTGAAATACCAGTTGGAAAAAACACAGCGGTTTCTTAAAGAACGCCATATCGATGCCCAGGAAGATAAAATCGATGAAGAGGTAACTAATTCAGGGTGGATAAGTCTGTTTAGGTACTCTGTCCTGAAGAGTAGCTCTGACTTACTTTCTGATAAACCACTGTTTAACTTGCCAGATTTGTTTAGTTTCCTCATCTGTAAAATTAAGGTGATAAAATGAGGATTAAATTAGAAAAGGTCTAATAAGTCTTAAAAAGGCCTAGAACAGTCTTAAACATGATTGATACCCAATAAGTGTTAGTTTTGTGCCCCATATCTTCTCTTGAAGATAATGAAGTGCTCTAAAATGAACCTTGTAGGATGAAAATTTCTGCTCATTTCAATTTTTTAGTAAATTTTGGTTGAGATTTTGGATTTCATCTAGAAACTACATTGTAGGCATAAAAGCCGTGGAAGAATCACGGAGGAAATGCTCTTTAGATTTGACTACATGGAAATTTTAAATGTTTGCATGTCATATTGTCAAAAAAGTTAAATGGTATTGACTTTTTTTGGAAATACTGGAAAAAATATTTGTATGTGGGCAGAAGAAAAGGTAAATAAATACTCATAATATCAAAGCACTCTTATAAATCTTAAGACAAATACTAAACATTTCAATAGAATAATGAACAAAGACATGAATAAGTGGTTCACAAAAGAAATACAAATGGCTAATAAGCATATGAAAGTGGTGTTTAGCCGACAAAAATCAAACTCAAATTAAGTGTATTTTTATTTGTCAAAGTGACAACAATATGAGAAAAGTATTTTGTATGCTGCTGGTAGAGTATCAAGGTTGGACAGCCATGCTGAAAAGCAGTTTGGAGTGTATATCAAGAGGCTTAAGAAGCTTTGCCCTTTAACTCAGCCCTGGGAAATTTTCCTAAGACGATAGTGAGGTAGCGATTTGTATATGGTGTAATTTCTTTGAAGTGTTATCTGCAGTGGGGGCAAATTTAGAAATGTTTTGGTAAAATAGTTGTTGATACATATACACTATTAAAATACTATGCACCCACTAAATACACCTTTGAAGAACATGGAAAAATATTTCCAATGTTAAGTGGGAAAAGAATTCCAAGATAAAAAACTATATACAGTTTGATCTCATTGATTTTTTTATTTTATATGCTAGTGTTTATGTACATGCAGAGAACGGAGGAAAATATTCCAAACATTATCAGTGATTATATTCAGGTAATGAGATTATAGGTGATCATTTTCTGTATTTTCCAGATTCCCTCTTAAGTGGAAGAACAAAACAACATTCTTTTTTTTTTAACCTTCTTTCAAGGTCCCTTTTTTTTTAATTAAAATATCACTGATACACAATCTTATGATGGTTTCACATACATGACACAGTGGTTCAGCATTCACCCATACTATCAAGACCTCACCCCCTCCATTGCAGTCACTGTCTTTCAGTGTAGTAAGGTATTATATAGAGTCATTAATTGTCTTCTCCGTGTTGTACTACTGTCCCAGTGACCTGCCTGTATTGTGATTGTGAATTATAGTGCCTCTAATCCCCTTCTCCCTCCCCACCCACCCTCCCAACCCCTTCTCCCTCCCCACCCACCCTCCCAACTCCTCCCCTTTGGTAACCACTAATCCCTTCTCCATGTCTATGAGTCTATTGCTTTTTTGTTCCTTCTGTTTTGCTTTGAATAACATTCTTTTTTAAAAACCATTCTCTTTGACTTTGATTTTAGTGCTTTAGTTAACATAGTTCTCTTAAAACCTTACGGTATCATTGTACACCTAGTAATATTCAATGCCAAGTACTTTTCGCAGTTAGGGTAGGTAAACTACACTCTAAAACCACTCACTCTGTGACTCTGGGTGTATTGGGTTCATAAATTTTAGTAGGGATGGATTTCTCAGTTAAGTACCAGAAATAAAACATGACTATCCCATCTAACTGTAAAGTGCAAAACTATAAAACTCCTAAGAGACAACATAAGAGAAAACCTAGGTGGTCTTGGGTATTGCAGTAACTTTCTAGATATAACCACAAAGGCATGATCTGTGAAAGAAATAATTAATTAGCTAGACTTTATTAATATAAAAAACTCAGCAAAAGATGTTAAGATAATGAGAAAATCCATGGACTGGAAGCAAATACTTACAAAAGATATATCTGATAAAGGACTGTTATCCCAAATTTACAAAGAACTCATAAAACTGAGCAGTGAGAAAACAAACCACCTAATTTACAAATGGACCAAAGACCTTAACAGAGACCTCCCCAAAGAAGATATGCAGATGACAAGTGAGCATAAGAAAAGATGCTCCACATTATGTGTCATCAGGGAAATGCAAATTAAAACAATGAGTTGTAATGCTACATACCTATTAGAATGGCCAAAATCTACAACACTGACAATACCAAATGCTGGTGAGGATGGGAGCAACAGGAACTCTGATTCATTGCTGGTGGGTGTGTGAAATGGCCCAGCCACTTTGGAAGAATGTTTGGCAGTTTCTTATAAAACTTAGTGTACTCTTACCGTGTGATCCAGCAGTTAATGCACCTTGGTATTTAGTCAGAGATGTTGAAAAACGTACATCCACATGAAAGCCTTCACATGGATGTTTAGAGAAGCTTTATTCATAATTGCCAAAACTTGGAAGCAACCACTCTGCCCTTTAATAGGTGAAAGGATAAATAACTGGAAATATCCAGGTAAGGTAATGTTAAATTTCTTGCTAAAAAAAAAAGCTATCAGTGTGTGAAAAGATTGATGGGGGCACCTTCAATGCATATTACTAAGTTGAAAGAAGACCATCTGAAAAGGCTACCTACTGGATGATTCCGAGTTACAATAAAAAGGCAAAATTAAAGACAGTAAGAAGACAGTGGTTGCCAGGAGTTGAGCTGAAGGCAGGGGGAGGGATGAATAGACAGGCACAGAGGATTTTTAGTGCAGTGAAATGACTCTGTGATACTGTTATGATGAACACATTCATTACTCATTTGTCCAAACCCATAAAATGTACAACACCAAGGATGAACCCTAATGTAAGTTACATACTTTGAGTGATACGATGTGTCAATATAGGTTCATCTGTTATAACATGTACCAGTTCTGGTGGGGGGTGTTGATAATAGGGGAGGCTATGCATGTGTGGGGCAGGGAGTATATGGGAAATCTGTACCTTCCTCTCAGTTTTGCTATGAACCTAGAACTGCTTTAAGAAAAAAACCAACAACAGCAGATAAACAGAAAACCAAAAAACATGACCATCCCTACCCAGAGTGATACCATGGCTCCTGAGAAGGTCGGGGTGGCGGGTAGCAGAGGAGAAACATGGTGGCTCAGACAGAGCATGGACTCTGGAACCAACTCTGTGTGCAAAATCAAAACCTTTACTACCTGTGCAGTAGTGGTGAGTAGTGAGTTTTTGAACCTTACTGAACATCAGTTTCCTCATCCATAAAATAGGGATAATCACAGAACCTCCATTTTTGTGAAAGGTTAAAAAATTAGTACGGATGAAGTCCTCAGAACACAGCCAGCACAGAGAGACTACTCAGTATTTTTGCTCTGACTCACGTTTTTCTTCTGTGAATGCCTTTGTGCTTGTGGTATATCTTACACCACCTCAACCACATAGTTTGTAATAGTGCCCTGTCAGCTTTGTAAAAAATCACTCCTGTAAATTCCCCCCTCTGCTGAATCATAACAAGCATTTTTACTTCTTTAATCTTAAAAAACAAAATTCTAGACCATTTCCATTTAGCTGCTACTTTATTTCTTCCTCTTTTATAGCAGAATTGCTTCAGAGTTTTCTGTATTTGCTGCCCTCGTTCTTCTCCTTTTTCCCTTAAGTGCAAACCATTGAGAATTTCGGCCCCTTCATTCCAGTGAAGCCACTTTTGTCGAGGTGTCACCAGTGACCCGCATCCTAAATCCACTACCATTCTCATCTTAAATCTCATTGTACCGGTCCTTGAAACCTTTTTCCCTTTAGCTTTTAGGACCCCTTAGCTTTAGGACCCCACACTCCTGTTTTCTTCCTATCTCGCTGTGCGTATTCTCAGTCTCCATTGATGATTCCTCTCATCTCTCCAGTCTCCTAAGCCAGTGTCCCCTGAACTGAGTGCTTGGCCCCTTCTGTATCTGCACTTACCCCTTGTAATCGCCTCCAGCTTACTGGCTTTAAATTCCATATGTTTGGTGATGAGTTTCAAAAGTCTAGCCAAACCTCTCCTCTCAACTTAAGACTTCTGAAGCCAGTGGCCTGCTAGACATTTCAACTTGGATGTTTAACAGAGATCTCAAACTGTTAATATCCCAGTCCAAACTGCTGACTCAGCCCGTGGTCTCCCTGTAGTGTTCCGGGAAAGCACCATTTTCTCAGTTTCCCAGGCCAAAAACCTTGAAGTCACCTTTTATTCCTCTCTTTATGTCACCTGTGTCATGACTGTCTAGAAAGCCTTTTGGCTCTATTTCAGAATATGGAATCTGATTACGTCTCAGTACCTTCACCACTACCAAGGGTTCTAGGCTTTGCCATTTTTCACCTAGATTATTTCCAGTAACCTCCAAATTTGTTCCTGTTTCTACCTGTGTCTTCCTCCAACCCACCATTCTGTCTTCCAATTCAGCTGTCAGTGACCCTAGTATATTTCCTATCAAGTCAGTCCTGTCTAAAAAGGCCCTTAAAGTTGCTTACAAGACCTTATTCCAACTGGCTTTCTCTTTACCATCATTTCTGCTCTAGCCACAGTGACCTGCTTGCTGTTTCTTAAACATACCAGGCATACTTCTGCCTCGGTGCCTTTGCTCACATTCTTTCCTTTGATTGGGATGATTTCGCCCAGTTATTTGCAAGACTCATCCCCTGCCTTTTAAAATCTTTGCTCATATATTACCTTCTCATTGAGGCCTTTCATATCATCCTATTCAGATGTAACCTCTCCTCAAGCACTCCTTACACTCTTCCAGCTTTATTTTTCTGTGAGTTCTTACCACCGTTTGCAAAGATTTCACAGGTTCAGATACTTGAAAGGACTCACAAGACTCCATGGAGCATATGCATTTAAGGTTTTTATTTAAAGGCAGAGGATACAGTGCAAGAAGAAAAAGATCATATGCAGGCTTTAGGGAACTGACAGCAGGCGTAAACTCTCTATGTCCTTATTTGCATACATTGGTTCCTGGATTAAACACCAAGATTGTGAGAAGTTTGCAAGAGATTATTTATGCCCCTCTGGTCATGTAATTAAGCCATGCTGACTGGTTATGCGGGTTGAAACCCTTCAGTAAATAATCTGGCAGTGGGGATACCCGAGGCTCTCTAGAGATGGGAATAGAGTCTTCCCAATCTAGCTGTAAATTAACTCAATCCAACCTGCCTCCTAAAAACAATATAACATATTACTGGGTACATATACCTACGAGTGTAAGCTCCATGGAGGTAGGATTTTAACTATTTTGTTTACTGTTTTGCCAATTTCTATAGTAGTGCCGGGCACATAGTGTGTGCGTGTTTCATGTGTGCTAAATAAATTGCTAAGTAAATAGAGTTTATCTGTAATTGCTTAGCTATATTTTAAGAGCCTGGTTGAGCAGGACCCATTAAAAAAAGTCTTTAGTATTCCTCTTGGTTCCAGGACCATGGTCAGCAAACAGTGAGCATTTGGTAGCTGGCAGGTTAAAACGGATCTTCAGAGACTCATATAGCTCAGATACCATTTCAGAGAGCTTCCTGGATGTCTTGCAGCCTAGTGCATAAAAATGATTTGAGCAATGTAATAAATATTTCAATCATTTTAAAAGAGAGATTTTTGTTTTCACCTATTTTACTGAAGCATAACACCCATAGGATATTAGAATTTTTTCCTCTGCAGTCTGACAGATTATTTTTCAGTGACATGGAACATTTTGGCCACAGGTAATACAGTTTTTCTTAGGGCACATAGATATATTTTAGAGTGCATTTCTGAAATTTTAATGTAAGTCACTGGGAAAATAATCACTTGTAAGACAAAACTATACTTAAATTTCCAAGTTTTATTTTTGTAATGGAAAGCATTTCTTAATCAGCTGTAGTCTCTTATTTTATATTTACATAACAGGATAAGTCACATGCTTTTGATATACTCTGTTTTAATACAGGTACGTCGTTTCAGAGAAAGCAGACAAAAAAATACTAATGAAGAAGATGATGAAGTTCGAGAGGTAATTTTTGCTGTAAATTCCTATACTTATATGTCAGTTTGTTAAACCAAATAAATAAGTTTATTTAGTCATTCCACAGGGCTTAGGTTTGGTGGCTAGAACTGAGCACAGAATGGCTGAAGATAGGTGCTTTTGGTTTATTCCAGTTCAGCCTACAAATAATTTTGCCTGCTGTCACTCTCTTTTTTCTTTTACTCTTGTCTAAAACTTAATTATGTGTTGGATGGTGGTGGGGGGACATACACAGTAAGAGCCATTACTAATCAAAATAATACACAATTACTTTTCAGAGCATCTTACTAGTATAAAATAAAATCTTACCCTACTAAGCTGATACTATTTTTGGGCAAAAAGGAAGAAACTTAGTTTTTTTGGTTAGCAATATTACCGTAGGTAAATATACAGCATCTGCTGGTCTTTCTCAAATGTTGAAGTTAGCTCGATCACTATAGTCTGTCTGTTCTCCATCTCCGCAGTTTAGGAACTTTGGTTAGCAACTATTTACTTAAATTCTGGGCCTCTGTCTGGTACTTGATGAATTCATGATTGAAATATGTTTTCCTATTTTCTAATTTTCCTTAGTTAAAACACTAGTTTCCTAGTTAAAACTAGATTGCTATCTAGTATTTAAAAGTTATCAATTATTTACTGTTAGGATTTTGTCTTGATTGCTTCATTCAGCAGACACTGTACTTCTGTTACTGTCTGGCCATTTTGCTTTTAATTCTTAGGAATGCAAATATGAAAAAGGTATGATCCATGTCCATCAGAGATTCTCAGTTTAGTAGGTGAGACAGGACATATATGTAGAAAGAAAATATTAAATCTTATGTCCTGAAGTTTCAGTCTCACTGAATTAATATAAGTATCCTACTATTCCATTATCATTATCCTAAATAACTCAGAACTGTAGCTCACAGGTGGTGAATCGGAACAAGTTGAAGTACTTGACATAGACTTCAAACTAACTTTCACAAGTTCCATTGTTTTCTCTGCTACCTGAAAAAAAGAATTAATAGGATCCCTCCCCCACTGCTCCTACTATAGTTATTTTTTGCCTTGTTTTAAGTACACCCCTTAGGTAAAAGTCAGTACCTGAGATGTTACGAAAAAGGAAAAGAATGATGCTTAAGGAGACGGGGACCCTCAATCTGCTTTTTTCCCCCCTGAACCCTTCTAAAGGAATCCTTGTTTAGTAGTTGATCTCTTCATGATTACTAGGTAATACCACAGGCTTTAATGGCAAGCAGCTTTAGACCCTGACATAGGAAAAACTCTTTTGTCAAATAGTTCTGCTGTACCGTCTCTAGGGGCCATGAGCCAGACTGAAAGGCTTATTCTTTTAAATAAAACTTTCCAAGTGTGCATCTGATTTACTTCATCATGTTTCATTCCATACAGGCTACTTTAGGATCCAATGATTCCACTTACCTGTGTAATTTTAAGGAAGAGGAAAGTGGTATTTTTAGTGTTATGTTTTTTCTTTCCCCTGTTTTGATAAGAGTTTAATGTTCTGTGTTTATTGTGTGGGAAGTCACCTCCCAAAAGTTGTACCCTTGTTCATTAGAATATGTAGAAATATGAACAGTATAGTAACTCAATTAATAACCTTCGTTTAAAAAGAATATGCTTACACAATCTTCTGAATGTCTCATGTTGTCATTTCACTGCTTTCTTCCATTTGAACTACTTACACTACCTCCAGGGAGTAAGATAGGAAATTTTTGCAACATGAACTAACATTACTAGTAATAGTACCAGTATTAGCTACAGTTTTTTCCCATACCATGCTTTTCATTAATTGCCTGAAGTAATTACAAGACTGAAAGCTACCACTATCCACTAAATTTCACTCTCAACATTCCTGATAACAGTCGTCCTCCTAAATAAATGTAGTGGAAAAAAAAGAACTGACTACCTACCTGGCTCCATTCATTACTGTTTTCAGGTGGAAAGGTAAATGGTAATTACTGAATTTTTGCTACATTCATGACTTACACTATTTGAGTTTCCATTTTACAAATGAGGAGCCTGAGATCAGACTAAAGGCCATGTGGTGGGGCTGGAGTTTGAACCTAGTCTAGATGTTTCCACCATTCCAAGTCCTGTCAGAACTTTTCTCCTTTGTTCTATTAATATGGTGAATTAAAACATTCTATTATCGACCCATCCTTGGTATCACTTTGTAAACCCCCTGGTAATGCGCGTACTGGTTTTTCCAAATGCTCCTGGATTCTCTTTTTCAGCTTTAATATTCATAAGTAGGATGGTAATTTTCTTTTTGTACATGCTGTCCTTTGTCAGTTTCCTGTACCATGTTATGCTGGCTTTCTAAGAAATTGGAAGATTGCTTTCCTTATGGTCTGGTACTGTTGAACTAGCAGTGGAATTATCTGTTCTTTGAGGATTTGATAGAATTTATCTGTGAAACTTCCTGGTGGTTTTCTTCAGGGGTGTAATTCTAACAATTTTCTCTAACTTTTCTTCGATAATTAGTCTTTTGAGACTGTCTGTCTAGTCTGTTGAGACTGTCTTTTCTTGGACCAGTGTAGGTAATTTATTTTCCAAATTTCTTAGAATTGAGCAGATTATTTTGTCACGATTATTTTAATTTTCCTTGGATCTTTTTTCCCTCCATTTTCATTTCTAATGGCATATATTTGTCTTTTCATCCTTTTTATTAAGTTATTTAGTGATTTTTTATCAGTGTGGTTTTGTCCCAAAGTACCAGTTCTTAGATTTACTGATTCCAATGGACTTTTGTTTAAAATTATAAATTTTCAGTTTAATCTTTATTGATTTCTTTTTCAATACTTTCCTTGGGTAGGTTTTATTTTTTTCCAACTCTTTGAATACTAAATTCACCTAGTCATTTATTCTTATATAGCAGGTTGTAGACTTTCTTTATAAGTACTGTGTTGTTTTATATATTTTGATATGTAGTATTTTTATTATTATTTTCTAGATATTCTATATTTTAGTTTTGTTTTGCAGTTTGGAAGCACAGGTTTTTGCTTTATTATTAATTCCTAATTTTACTGCATGGTGATTAGGCAGTATGATAATACGCTTTTTACAACTTAGAATCTATTGGTATTTTTCTTAGCACTCCATTATCAGTTAAAACGTATATTGTTCATTTTCACAGTGTTGTAAAGTTCAAAATACATTGATTAGATCTATCTTATTACATAATTTAGGTTTCCTTTTTTCTTTTAAATCTACTTTTTAAAAAATAGATACCCTCGTTCTTGTTATTCATGCAGCTAAATTCTATAAAGTCACTGCAAACGCTAAATTAGTGAATCCTGAACCATATTGCTCCCAGGGGAAATACAGCATTAGATCCCTACCAGCCACTGGTTATAGAATTTTTGTCAGCTAATCAGTACATTCTCTTTTTCATTTGATTTTCTGTTTAAAGACAGCTTATTTAATATCTGCTATGGATTCATTTGCATTGAACTCATGGCCAGCAGCCCTGTAACTCATGCCTGAATGAAGCTTATCTAACACATGTATTACCTTCAAAGGCACCTACAGCCCTCACAGCCTTCCTGCACTTAGGAGCTCTCAGTGGCACTTCAGCACTACACAGGGGTGGTATTAGAAACAACAAAATCACCAACCAAAGGCACAAAAATGTAAAAAACGTGGCTCTAAATTACTAAAAAAAAGGACACTTGTTTCAAGTACAAGAGCAGAAACAGAGAGGCAGAGTATCGCATTATTCAGTTTCATCTGAATAATGTGTGTCTGACAACTCAGAGTTGTTGCCACTCTGCACATGTCCACAAATGACACGAGGGTATCAGGAGCATTGCTCTTGCAATTACAAATAAATTTTGGGACATAGGTGAATTTGCAATTACAGAAACCAAGAATGATGAGGACTGGCCGTACTTCATCTGGAACAAGAAAGATGAGTTGAAATCCTTTCTGCTCTTTTCCTTTATATTTGTTGTGGTATTCCCTAAAGTTTTTTCTTGTAATGATGAGTGCCATGTTGAGCCCTTCATGTAGTGTTTTAGGTGTTGGTTCGCCTAAGCTAAGGTGATCACAAGGCTGGATTGCCTCCCACCTTCCACCTCCCACTTGACACCTACCAGTACCCTGCCTGCTTTGTTCTCATCTCATTTTGCCTCTCCTTCAACTGCTGGTGTTATGGAGAGCTTAAAAAGGCTCTACCCATGTCTTAGACCCAGAACTTTTCATTCCAAGCAAGAGAGACTGTTGTCATGGCCCCTTGGGAATTATAAATCAGTTTTGGAGAGCTCTACACTACCTGGAGGAACTCTTCTCAACCTTGTCCCTTAGCCAAGTCAAATATTCATTATATCCATTAAACTCTTCATAGATTTTATGTTTTGAGGCTGGAGCTATTTTCTAATTTTATTGAAAATATATTTTCTCTTATTCTCAATTTTATTTTAGTCTTACTTCTTATTCTCTTGTTACCTTTTAATTGGTTTAAGGGAAGGGATCAGGACAACCCCTTTAATTTTATATTTAATTGAAAAACCTGGACTCATTTCAGAGTTAAAATATTTCATTAAGTCTCAAACTTGTTTTCTCTAGACGGTTTCTTATGTTAAAATTTGTGGCATATTCTTAGTCCTAAGGCCTTTATTCTTTTCCAGGCCTTTAATTTATATATTCAACTTAATTTTTTTGTCATATATTTGTAGTAGATTATTACTCATGTTTTTATGATTACAAAAGTAGTATTTTAGAAAGAGTATATTGTAGAAAATTAATAATGTTCAAAAAGAAAAAATAAAAACATCCTAATATTTCATCACCCACAGCTAGCAGCTCTTGTAAGTTTTTTTTTTTATTATTAAGAGCCCCATTTGCATGGAGTAGCTCAAATGATGGCAGTTTTTTACAAATGGTGTTCAGTTAAGGGTGATTGCTAATATTCCCCCAAGTTCCAAAAGTTTATCTTCCTTAGCAAACCTTTTCAAGAGGTCTCACTTTTAGGTAGTGTTGTAAGTTGATCTTACAAATCATAGCAATTGGATTTGATGGGTGCAGGAAGGTAATTCTCCTGTTCTACATTTTTGTAGCATGATTAAAGAAAAATAATACTGTGGACAGTTTGATAATCGTTCATCTGAATGACCAGATTCATGACTTAGGATGCTGCATTACCTACCAGTGTGTTTTTCTCCTCCTCATCCCTCTCAGGCCATGACCAGGGCCAGAGCCCTCAGATCTCAGTCCGAGGACTCCGCTTTCGCCTTCAGTGCTGACGACCTTATGAGTATAGATCTGGCAGAACACATGGCTGATGACTCGAACGATAGCTTCGCCGCCACAGCCAACAAAGGAAGAGGCCGAGGAAGAGGTCGAAGAGGAGGCCGAGGACAGAATTCTGCTTCAAGAGGAGAGTCTCAGAGGGGAAGAGGTTAACACTGAGTCCTGCCTTTCACACAGATTCAGAATTGGCAATTGAGTAGGAAATACAGAATTGTATTGCTGTTTTCAGAATTGAGTTACACCATCCTTTATATTTTTGTTTTTATAATGTATAAAGTTGATCTTTAAAGTATTTAAATAAATTTTGAATGGCCACATGCACATAGGGTTTTAATTGCTCTTAACACTTATTTTTTACTTCATTGTCTCTTACACAGTAACTTTTGGGCAGGTTTAATGTCATAGTTACTTTACATGTACAAAGTAATAGGGAAAAATACGAGCTGCTGAGGAAAATGGCTAGCTAATGGCTGTGGGCAGCAGGAAGGAAACTCTAGATCATAAAAATAATCATTTTTGTTACTGTCCTAAGATACAAATGCCCACCGTCTTAGAAAGTGGCTTCATAAAATCCATTAAAAAAAAAACGACCCCAAAACAATGTGAGTTCTTGAAGTAATTATTATGTGCTTTCATTGTATTTAAAGTGACACTATTGTCTTTGAATTGTCCAAGTAGTAGAAAATTGGTCTTCCTGATGCATTATATATAAATCCATACCTCGGAATATTTTTTAAATTGTTTTTATTAAATTCTGTATCCATAGGAGTGTTAAGCTGATAAAATAATTAGTATTTTAATTAAAAACTTGCAGGGAGAGAAATCCTTATCTTCCAGTGAGAATTATTTTCATTATCCTTAAATTTATAAACTGTTCCCTTCAACTTCACTTGAAACAATATGAACTAAATGTGACTTAAGTGTAGTCTTCGAAAATTGATCGGACTAGATGTTTCTTGCTATAGATATCTTTTCACAGGTAAACTTATGTTTCAACATAACTTTATTTACATTTCATGTTGGTGGTTTTTTAAAGCAAAACCTTAGCTACTGCTGGAACTGCATATTGACCGTTCTTTATTCTGACAGGAGGCACTGGTCTGGAGACTTCTACTCGAAGCAGAAATTCAAAGGCCAGTACGTCGACATCTAGATATATGTCTATTATAGATGGTGAGTATAGGCAGCAAATGATTTTTAACTGTGTAAATTCTAACATAGGAAGGCCTAGGAAATCGCTGTTAGTAAACCTCATTGGTTGATACTGCCGTTTGAGGGGTCCAAAAGGTTATTAGGATCACAGGGTAAATTATTCTTTAAAAGATCTTTGCTATTCATCAGATCCATTGAAGAGGGTGAGCTTTAAAGTTATTTTTTCCACTCCCTTACTTTTAGACAGATTTGATTATCCTTTTTATAGAGGAATCACTAAGACATAGACATAGAAAAGTGCATCAGTTGGTCAGTGTATCGCTAATGATCAAGAGAGAAGGACCTGCTTCTTCATGTACCATTTGCCTTCCTCACGCTGGTTTTGTGTATCTCTGCTGTTAGCATAGAGGAGTCAGGTGAGCTGTACTTAAGGGAAGTTACAGTTAGGATTCTCTGAATGAATTTTTGTATGTTTAATTGTCTAAAAATTGGCCTCAAAGAGGGCCTATTTTTATAAACTAATCATAAGTTTATAATAAACTTTAATATTATGGCTTTGAGATCATTGTAAGTTGTTAGTAAGATTTATGAAAGTACATGTTAAAATAGGTGGTATGGTAATATTTTTTCTACGTAGCGTTAAGTATATCCTTATGTATTTTGTTTGCATTATCTTGCTTATTATTTGAGGTAAATTATTGTCTAACTTTTATAGCAAGAATTAATGTTGACAGATTGGAAAGTTGGACTAAATTTCACAAGATGAAATTTATCAAGGGCAAAATATAAAGGGCACTTACATCCAAAAGGGCAGCTGTAAAAAGAGTTGTGAAAGGTGTGTGACTTTAGGAGCTACCCAAGTAGAAAAGACTCAGATCAGTAAGAGTTGTGCAGGTCAACCCAGCTGTCCAAATCTAGTAACATCTTAAGCAATATTAATAGCAGTAGTGTATCTATATAGCAAGAATGCTCTCCTTCTGTACTGAATTCAATGCATCATGTCCAGAGTACTGTGCTCCTCTTTGGGACTATATTTCAAGAAGGAAATCAACTATGTATGATCCTTGAAAAGAGAAACCATACAATGTAAAAAATGATAGACTAAACTTGGGGTGTCTAACCTGGGAAAAATTCAGGTCTTCACGTAAACTTTCTGTTGTGAAAGATGGCCTACATTTGATTTGTACAGTCCGAAAAGTGGTTTTAAATCTGTTTTGAGTTCTGGATTCTTAAGAATCTGAAGAAAGCTATGTCTCCTCTTAATTAGGTCCTCAGATGCAGTTGTACTGAATTTCAAAGGATTCAGGGATCTCCATGATGCCCATCTATGGGCTCTAGATTAAGACCTACTAGCCCAATAAGGATAGATGGGAAAAGCTAGAAGCATAGAGATTTACGTTTAATATAAGATAAAATAGACTTGCAAGATTTAAGAACAGCTTTGCCTACTCATTGTATTGATGAGGGAGCTGAGCTAAGGAATTTGCCCTAGATTGATAAAACCACTGGAAGTACTAATAGTAGCTAATATTTATGAAACAGTTACATCATGCTTCTCAACAGCAATATGGGATGGTGCTTATATCATCCCTGTTTCCAGAACAGAACTGAAACTTCAAAAGGACAGGCAAATTACCCCAGGTCTCACAACTATAAATTCTAGAGCTTAGATTCCAATCCCACTTTCTGTAGACTCCAGAAGCAGTGGTTAACCACTATACTAGTTTCCAGAGTGAGGTAATATTAGAGACCCAGCTGCTGCTTCTCAGTAGAGGAGACTGCATTATATAGAATAACCTATCTAATTAATATGAAGGGGGAGTAAACCACCTCAGAAGGGAGTTGTGACCCCATGAAAGGAGGTTTTAGACATTTACTGGATGACAACTGACACTGGAGAAAGGATACACACATCAGATTAATTAAATGAATTCCTATCCAAAGTTCTGTTGCTACATGTTTGCATAGGGATGTTCAGTGCTTGAGGAGAGCCAGCTGAGATTCTTAACTTTTGACTTCAAAAGCCTGTTGTCTTTGTTGCCATTTAGGAAATGGCGTTCAGGAAAGTTTGTTCCATTCTTGGCAGGACTAAGATAAAAGCAAAGGAGGAAAAAAAGAGAAAAGGTATCATGGTAAAGGATCAAGTGTGAATTCAACATGTAAAAAACACTTAACATTCAACTGTGTGACTCTGGACATGTCACTCACTCTCCTACTTTGTTTACATGTAAACTGGAACAACAATCTCTACCATATGGGTTATTTTAATCAAATGTTAGTTATTGCTATTACTTTTATTTTTTAAGGACAAAATAGGGAGATAGAAGAGGGAAGTGAATAAAATATGTACACTTACATGTTAAACCACCAAAAGTTGGTTAGTGTGCAACACAGAGGCAAAGATTACCCACCTTTATCCTGGCTTGTTTCATGTGAAGCTTTCCTTGACACCAGGAGAACTAATCTTTTCAAGTGAGTCTTTGTGTTTCCATTGTTATTGCTAAGAAATCAGGTATTAGTGAAGCTTGTTGGTTTATTTATTTATTTGTTTTTAAGTAGTCTATTTTCCATCCAGCAAGCTGTCTTTGGTGTTCTGGCAGTTTCACTATGGTGAATCAGGATATGGGATTCTTTTCTAATACTTCTTAGGATTTCCTGGGCTTTATGAAACTGAATTGGTGTCTTTCATAATTTCTAGAAAATCCTTAGCTGTTAATCCCTCAGATACTACCTCTACACTCTTCTTTTTTATCCTTTCTTCTGGGTCTTCAGTTAAATAAATATAAGATCTTTTCATTCTGTTCTCCCATGACTATTAACTCCTCTTGTATTTTCTGTTTTATCTTCCTGTGCTACATTCTGAGTAGTTCTTTCTGATCAATCTTCCAATCACTCATGTGTTCTTAACACTGTGTACTGAATTTTTAATTTTTATGTTTTGTGGGGGAAAGGAGTAGAAATTGTACTTGGTTCTTTTAAAATATACTATGTCATTTTTGATAGTTTTTAAAGTTCCCCACAGATGTTTTTAAGGCTGTCTTTGGTTTTTGTCTGTGCATAGTCAGGACATTTGTTTCATATTGTGCATCCAGTAACTCTGTGTCTGAATGTCTTTGGCCTCTATATTTCTTTTTCTGTTGGTTCTCACATTTGTGACTCATTTCCTTGCATGCATTGTTATTTATTGTCTTTAAAAAATTACCAACAGGAATAATTTGAGATAAAGGAGGAAGATGTCTTCCTTCAGAAAAGTTTCATATTTGTTTCTCTATGCTTCTAGGAACACCACAAATCTTAGACCACTTTAAACTACATTTAAGTGTATGACTTGAAGACTAGCCAGGTGACATATACTTGTAAAATCCTGTTTACATTTGCTTCTCTTCTTAACTATTGGGGCCCCAGCTTAAGGTAGGGAGGAAATGCTTTAGGTTCCCCACCTCGAGCAGGCCTTGACCTGTGGCAGCTCTTTCCCTTTTCCTACAGAACTGTCAGAACCAGTGTTGACGTTTCCCCAGATCAGCAGGTGTCCTCAGGGAATAGGACTCTGCTTGCCTCTCTGAGTTCTAATTTTTCTTCAGTTTTATTGTGTTAATTCTTTACTAAGTGATCAGCTCTTTAATGACATTAAGATTGTTTTTTAGCATTTGATGTAATGTAGCTGTTTGTTTTCAGCAGAGGTGTTTGTCTGAATAACCTAGCTTATAGTGAACAGATACAGAAATTTTTTATTAAGGTATGATTGATATACACTCTTATGAAGGTTTCACATGAAAAAACAATGTGGTTACTACATTTACCCATATTATCAAGTCCCCACTCATACCCCTACGCAGTCACTGTCCATCAGTGCAGCAAGTTGACAGAGATCCACTATGTCCCTTCTCTGATACACTGTTCTTCCCATGATCCCCCCACACCATGTGTACTAAACATAATACCCCTCAGTCCCCTTCTCCCTCCCTCCCCACCCACCCTCCCACATCCCTCCCCTTTGGTAACCACTAGTTCATTCTTGGAGTCTCTGAGTCTGCTGCCATTTTGTTCCTTCAGTTTTGCTTCATTGTTATACTCCACAAATGAGGGAAATAATTTGGCATTTGTCTTTCTCCACTTGGCTTATTTCACTGAGTATAATGTCCTCCAGCTCCATCCATGTTGTTGTAAATGGTAGGATTTGTTTCTTTCTTATGGCTGAATAGTATTCCATTGTGTATATGTACCACATCTTCTTTATCCATTCATCTACAAATGGACACTTAGGTTGCTTCCATATCTTGGCTATTGTAAAAAGTGCTGTGATGAACATAGGGGTGCATATGTCTTTTTGAATCTGAGAAGTTGTATTCTTTGGGTATATTCCAAGGAGTGGGATTCTGGGTCAAACAGATACAGAAATTTTATCTTTGTTTTCTTTCTTTAAAACTCACATATGGCTGCCCCCTTTGCACCCATAACTCTGTGTGTGCCTCTTGGGGGTTTTTGTGAGCATTTTTCCACTTTCCCACTTTAGCTCCTTTCAGAACCACTATGCCAGTGAAGCTTTCAGACATTCTTTAATGCCTCTTGCTCTATTACTCATTGATAATATAGAATAAAGCTTCTGTTTGAGTAGAGAAGACAAGGGACCAGTTAACGGTGCTTTAAAATGCTCACAAATTAGCATGACTAATCATTTTTTAAGGTAATAATATTCATTCGTAGAAGAGCCTATGTAAGTAAGCCAGATTACTATGAAACTTAACCATTAGAAGCATAGAGAAACAAATATGAAACTTTTCTGAAGAAAGTCATCTTCATGCTTGATCTTAAATTATTCATGAACTGCGCTTAGGAAGAAGTCTTATTGTAGTGCTTTTTGCAGCAGATGGATGTGGTGAGGAACCCAGGCTCTAGAGTCAGACCTGCTGTGGTCAGCCAGCTCGTCACCTGCTGGCTTGGGGCCCTCGCACTGGAAGCCCTGGGAGAACAGGGACTGCAGCATTCTCGTTCATCATTGTATCTTTAGTGCCTGGCACATAGTAGGTGCTCATTGAATATGGACAGTGACAGAATGCAGATTACTTGGAGGTTGTATAGCATAAAGGTTAAAACATGGTTCTAAAATCATAAAGCCGTTGGTTTGAGTTTGACTCCTTGATTTATTACCTGTGTCGACCAGCAAGCAGACTTTCCATCTCTCAGCTTGGGTGGCCTCATCTGTGAGATGGGGTGACAACTGCATTTATCTCATTGAGTTATTTTGAGGATTAATGAGAAAATAAATGTGAAATACTTAGGACAGTATCTATACATATTAGACTTCTAGTAAGTATAGACTGTTAATTATTCTATAAGCTTCAGGTCCCTTAGCTATAAAACTGGGAGTGTGGTACTGATTTTACAGAATCATTCTAAGTATTAAGTGAACTTATGCATAGACATTGCTGAGCACAGCACTTAGACTCCAATAAATTAATTCTGCTCAGTATGAGTGGCAGTGTTTACAATAAACCCAAGAAGATGGATGTTTTATAAATTAGTCTAAATTTGTCTTTTATGGTTTTGCAATTGAATTGCTTCCTTCTAACATTGGGCCTTCTTTTTTTATTTTCTTTTGAAAAACAAGACTGACCTTTTAATTCTTTTGTGTAAAATACTTTTATCAGGTTAGATATGGTATTAAGTCTCTGACAAAATACCTAATGGGGTACTATCCATAGTTAACTATAAATTTGGGACAGAAACTTCTGGACTATAATTTCTAGATCCCTATTATAAGTGGAGGACTGAGGAGATAAATAAAGGTTAAATTCTAGCATAACAAGCTTTGTGGAATGTAGAGATTTGTTTTGTACTGGAAGTTTATTGGGAAAGGTAGACATTACACTCACAGTCAGCAGCGGTTGTAAATAAGAGTTGACAAACCCCGATTTTTCTGTTGAAGTTTGTTTGCAGAGGATGGTGACCACATTGACTAGAAGATGACTTGGAAGCTTCTGCCTCTGCATTTACTGTAGCACTGTGGGTACCACTGCTACTATGTCTTCTTCCACTGCTGGCTGCAGCATTTGAATACCTATCGCTTCTAGGTGCTTGCCTAAACAATTTCCACTATTACCTACCTCTTTTTATCCTTTCAGCTTTTTCCTGCACGAGATATTATTAATACTATTGTTACGGGTTGAGTTTGTTCTCCTCGGTTCCTGTTCCTGTCGCAGCAAAGAACTGAAAGGCAGAGGCACAGTAGCAGAATGAAAGTTTTATTTGAACGCACTCCAAGGAAGGAGCAGGCCAGAGTCAAGGGAGACAAAGGCAGACCGCTTACTGTGAGGCTTCTTCTGTGGGGTGTTGGCAGGGCAGAGACGTCCTTGATGGACGGTCTTTGGCCTTGGAGGCTTGGCCTAACTGGTGAAATGGGGACATGGGCTGTGCTGATATTTTCATCTGGGGAATGTCTGTGCTTGGAAACTTCTCATCTGGAAAGTTGTTTGTCATCTGGGGAGTGTCTGGACATTCTAAGTCACTCCTGGTCCTTGAAAACTTCAACTAAATCACCTCTCTGAGTCCTTTCTGGCTCTCTGGTTTTATCTGGTTAACTCTTCAGTCCCTGTTAGTGGGCTTTACTGGCTTTATTCTCCCTGCACCTGTTCATATCTCTCCTTCTGCCTAACACTGTTTCATAGGTGGGGAAACTGAGACTTAGAGAAGCCAAGGAACTTGGCCATAGTCACCCAGCTCAGTAAGTCAAAATGAATGTTACTCTAAAGCCAGAGCTTTTAATGGCTGTACTGTATTGCCTTAAATAAGAGCTTAGTGCTTATTTATCTTAACAAACATTTATTGCATATAAAAAGAAAGGAGGGCTCTTGTTTTCAATTATCTGAGAGTTTGAGGAATCAGTTAGTGATTAACTATTGAGCAGAGGTATTTTTGAATGAGTCATGATTGCTGGCTTTCTTATTCAGTTGCACTATTTATTAGCCTTTTTGAGTAGTCAGGATTCCAGCATGATAATTGGGTCGGGTGGATAAGAGCTCTGCTTCTGCCCTTCATCTCTCCTCTCAGGTAGGTTTCACAAGATTGCAGATACAAACTGGAATAGGAAAAAATGAGCAAATCATAAATTTAGGCTAGGTTAGAGATCCCTGAGTTTTGTGACCAGGAGAATTTTGGATTTCGTGGGGTTCTTTTGAGCATTTGGCTTTTACAAGTCCTCTGTCTTTTTTTTCTCCTCTTGCCCTGTTGCTTGGTTTGGGAGTGAGACTGTAAGTCGGGACCCTCTGTTCCCGGCTGGTTCCCCTGGCAACCAGCCCCCAACTTTACATGGAGGCCAGTAGTCATCTCATTAACATAACAAAAGATGCCTTTATGGCTCTCATTAGTTAGGAAATTCCTGGGGTTTTATAAGTTCTGCCATTGAAATGGGATGAAGACCAAATAAATATATATTTCTTACTGTAAAATCATAATATCATAGTTTTGATCTTGAGGAAGAATATAGGGCAGACTAAACTTAATGTTTCTAACCAAGTTTATAAAGGTAAAAAAGTTAGGATTCAAGGGAAAGTTTTATGTAATAAAACATACACTGTTTTCTAGACTTCCACTCTGGACTGTTTCTCAGGTACTGAACATGGCTAACAAAGTAGAGGAGAATCAGGTCTTACTGGAACCATGGGCCTCAGGGAAGGGTATTGCCAACTATGAGAAGTCAGTCAGAGGGTTACCTTTAGTGTATTTGGAGTTTAACCATTTAGGTGATCCAATTTTGTTCTTCAGGTGTTTTTCTATGCAATATTTTTAGTAGAGGAGCATTTATGAACACAGCTTATACATGAATAAGCCAGGAAATCATATGAGACTGGCAGCTAGCATTGATTTATTTGAACATATAATTCCATCTCCCTTCGTATTTCATAAAATATAGATGGTTTCAAAATTAGTCATTGTGGATTTTTGCAGATAGAGCATAGAAAATCTTAAACTAAAGAAATATGCAAATGTTTTTAAGTTATTTTAAGAATAAAGTAATGGATATTCCATCTGTTCTCATTTTAGCCTTTAAATCTGCAAGACAGCAGCCCTCCCAAAATGTTGCTACTAAGAATTATTCAGAGGTAAGATAAAAAGTTTCACAGTTGTGTTGTAATAAATTGTTTCCTGCATTATGAATTGTTAATTCCTTGATCTACAAAGTAAATAAAAGAAGAAAAAGTATGGAACATTAAATCTGGAGAGAAATTTATTGATTATCTAGACTGAGAGCTCCAAGGATTTTTTTTGTGTGTGTGTCTTCCTTCTTTTAAAATAATAGATCATGTGATTAGAAATCCATAAATGTTATGTATCCAGTAATTCTTTGAAGGTTAACAGTGTTGATCCAAAAGGGTTGATGCATAAAATACTAATATTGAAGATGGGAGTTCAGTGTATGTAGAGGTCTTATTTATACCAGACTTCCTTTTGTCATTTATACTCTCATAATATTCTGGCTTGTGCCTTAATGGCTGAAGCTAGACTCAAGACAAACTAAAAGGTTGGAGTCTAAGGACCTAAGTGGTCGGCTCTAGAGTTATATAGGCCTTCTGCTCTTCTTTTGGGTTCCAGAAAGAGTCCAGTATGGGCTTGACTGTCCTATTAACCTCACTTTCTAATCCCCTGTGTCTTAAATCTTCCCTGTACATCAGGGTTTCTCGGTAGCAGCACTGCTGACATTTTGGACCAGCTGAGTCTTTGTTGTGAGGGTCTGCCGTGTACCTGTGAGGTGTCAGCAACATCTTGGCCTCACCCTTGAGACGCCAGGACTACCCCCTAATTATAACAATCAAAAATGTCTCTAGACATTCCACGTATCCCTGGGATGGGAGTGAGAGTTAAAAACCACCCCCAGATAAGAATCATTATCATACTGCCCCAGTAGCATTTTCTCAAATTTGGTTCTTCCTGATCTCTTAAACATGTGACCCAACTGACCACCCTCTTTCCCAAAAAAACTTCTATGTCCTGATTCTAATCTTGTTCTTTTATCTCTCTCAACTACATCTTTCTCTTTTTCCCTTCCACCTCATTGCCCACTTACATGTACACCAGCGCTAGCTTTTATCCTGAGCTCTGTTTTTGTTTAACTGTTGCATGTTACCACTTCAGGGTCATCATGTGTGAAAACAAAAGTATTGTCATGTTTTCAAGGTAGCTTCCCTTCTAGATTTTTCTGTTATAAGGCAGGAACATGAATGGGAAAAGAACAAGTTGTACCACACTAACTTTTTTTTTCCATTTTTTTATCATGGTTACACAGTGGTAGATTAAACAATGTTGAATGCATTTGACTCCTTCAAGCACATAAGATAATCCCCTGATAGTTGTGTGGACAAAATGCAGAAAATTGGATTCATAGCTTCTTAGACAACTGCATTTAGTGGTTTTTGATTAATAGTCAATGCCAGCCTTGGAGGGGGAGGTCTCAGGTGCTGCCTTTTTCATGGTGTTGCCCCTTGGCTTCATCAGTTAGCTGAAGGCATAGCAAATTGTGTATTAAGTGTCAAGATAACAACAAATGTAGAGGAATAGGAGGTATTTTGGATGATAGAATCAAGAATCACAAATACCTTTACTGGGGCTTAAAACCAACAAATGGTATTTAACACAGGTAAATGTAACAGAAACATAGATACCCAGAATTTCAAAGATAGTCTTACATATACCTCATTTAAAATTGGAAATGTAACACCAGTGGTCTAACACCTCATTAGAATTCAAGAAATCAGAAGGCACTGTCTGCACTTGACACTGTGAGCCATTTGCCATCTAACTACCTGTTCCGTGCGGTCCCCAGGCTGCCGTGCTGTCAGGAGAGACGTGAGCGCAGACATGTTGTACAGGGTACCATTTGTGATTGAAGGGTGATACTGGAGGGGGGGGCCAAGCTAAGCTGTAGCTTTAATGGTTGCTCCTTAATGTGGTTTCTGTCTCCTTTTTTTGCGACTTTCTTTGAAACTCTGTGGTTCAATAATTCATTTTTACTCAAATGTTCTGTTCCCACAAGAGCTGTTTGCTGTTTTATTTTCCCCCCTTAGGTGATTGAGGTGGATGAGTCAGATGTGGAAGAAGACATTTTTCCTACCACTTCAAAAACAGATCAAAAGTAGGTGCCGTGACTTCTTGCAAAAAGAAACATCTGAAAAATTAAAAATTATTACAAGCATTTTCATCAAAAATGTAACCTGTAATTTGATTCCTTTTGCCTTTATTACCCATTGATTTTCTTGATGGAGGACTATATTCTCTCCATTAACAGAAAATAGTTTTGTTATTTTGTTAATAGTTGGGATTTCAGCTTCTCTTCATTACCATATTTTCATATCCTAAGTTACACATGCTGCTGTGCTAAATACCAAGAAGATCACGTTGACTTTCTCTGCCTTCAGAGGATTTACATGCTTTCCCTGTCCTTTTGGCTTTTGCCTGTTACTCTAAAGCTTAACTTGACTTACTATCCCCAGGGTTTCTTCTATGTGATAATATTTTGGGTAAACACTGTGTAACTGAAGCTCAGTTAATGAAAATTTCTATATAAGAAAATAACAGGTTTTTTTAGTACTTAAATTCTGTGTGAGCAGTATGTTAGGTCTGATGAGGGACATAGTAAATGTCTTAATGTGGTTACTGCCTCCAGGAACACAGAGATGAACACATTTCAGTCCATTAAAGGATGATTAAGTCATTACATAATTATGTGTGGAATTTTACGATACAGACTCGGTATGATGCTTATAAGCCCCCAGAAAAAGGAGCAAGCAGTGTGGGCTCTCCATAGAAGAAACAGCTTTATGGACAGAGTGAAATATTTACCTGAGATTTTAAAGATAGGAGTTATTTGGATCAAGGGGATAGAAAAAATGATAGCTGAGAGTAGTAACGTGAGCCGGAATTATAGAAGTAAGAGGGAGATAGGGGAGATAGGGAGAAACTACCTCACTGTTTCTCACACTTCTCATGATCTCAACCCTTTTTCCATTACCTAAGGATAAAAAATATATTAATTATATTAACTAAAATAAATTTAATTTCTTCCTAACAAGAGAAGTTAAATACTAAGGAGTGAAATTTTGTTGGGCAGGATTGAGCTTGGGAGGGCCCAAAGCCACTGTAAATCTTGATTTCTCACCCACCCCATCTCCTAGAACCAATTTTCGTTCCTTAGGTATATTGACCCCATTCAAAATATATGCTTTTGTAAATTAGGGATCCATGTTGCAAAACACTTACTTATTCAGTTAAACATTATGCTAGAAGCTGGGAATAGAAACAGGAAAGAAATGTCTCCTTCCAGGATTTACACTTCAGTGCTATGCTAGTAACAGGGTACTAATAATCCACCAAGACAAATGTTTTATTCAAGTGTAACAAAACCTCAGGGATGTGCCAGTGTCTTCCTAGGCTGGGTCACTAAAGGTTTTACAGAGATGGCAGATAACACTGGAGCTGATGGTCCACAACACATCATGTGTGAGAACGTCTAAGGGTGCTCGCGGGAAATCCTGGCGCGGCAGTACAGAGCAGTGTCACAGCTCCCCCCCCTCCACCCCCACCCCCGGGAGAGTGGTCAGGGAAGGCCTTTGAGCAGGTTACATGCACTCTGAAACTTTCCAAGAGAGGCTCTTGGCCTCGTGGAAAGCAGAGGGAAATGAACATGCAAAGTCTCTTGAAGAAGAAAGAAGCTTAATGTAATTTTGGAGCCAGTGACTAGTGCATGGGGGAAAGGAAGTGGTCTGAGAGGAGCACAAAAAGGAGAGGCAGGAGTACGTCTGAGGCGGAACAGGTGAGCAGGGCAGGGGTCTTGGGCTTTATTACTGACGCTGGGGGACTTCAGGGGAGGATCCTGAGAGAGTAGTGGCACCATCTGATTTACATTTCTGAAGGGTCTGTGTGGTGCTGGCGGACAGCACAGGCGCTGTAGGTAGTCCAGGTAAAAAAGGAGACGGAGGCCTGCACCAGACAAATAAACAATGGGGCCCAGATATCTATGCCAGACAGTGGCTTAAGATGCACTGTGAGGATCATGGTTGATTTCTAGTCCATCAAAGGAAGAGAATCCCTTTCTAAGTCCGTGTTTGGCTGTTCTTGTCTTTGTCAGTCACACCACACACAAACTGGTCTAGCTTTGTGGTGTCTTTTTTTCTTTTTCTTCAGTAGTGAATCAGTAGTTGAGAGGAATATGGAAGTTTAGCTTGCATGGAGTCCTTATCTTTCATTTTAGGAACTAATGAAAATACTATTTTGGTATGTTGGGCATATGTTTAGGGGTCTAAGAAGAATCTTTTTGTTATTATTTTGGGGGCTTGTCTGCTTTTCAGTAGAGAAAGTGTCTGAAAACTTATTTACCCACAAGATAATAATAATCATCATAACTGAATTGTTTATCAGTTCCTGTGGGTCAGGCACTGTTTCCCAAGCTTTATAGAATAACTCTCTCTTTGGTGCTCATAACCACCCCAGGACGTAAATATAGTTATAACTCTATTGTGCTCATTTTATTTTTGAAGAAAGGGAGGCACCACAGGTGAGGGACCTACCTAAGGCCTCCCAGCTAGTCACATAGCCAGGCAATCTGCTCCAGAATTTGTCTCTGCTGCTGCTTCCTAATGTAATAGGTTAACCTCAATACCATTGTGCAAGCAATAAGAATCATTTAAGTGATGAGAGGCAATTTAGAAATTAACATTTTGGCACAAAACCTGAAATCAGCCTTGGCAGATGGTGGTTCTGGTGACAGCAACTGAATGGCACGATTGAGGCAGTTTTCGAATAATTACCTAGTAATGGCACGGTTTTTATGATTATTTCAGTTACAATTTAAACTATTTAAACTCAGTCACTTACTAGTAGAGTTTGTAAAAGTTTTCTTTTTATTCTCTGTGCCTCTATCCTTATTTATAAATGAATATAACAATATTTACCTCATAGGGTTGATATGAAGCTTAAGTAAGTTGATATTTGTAAAGTGCTAAGTAAAGTTCCTGGCATATAGTAACAGCGCTGTGTTTCTTAAATAAATTAAATAATGGGCTAGGGAATAGAACAAGAGTGATAGGAAGAATGGAAGGCAATAAAAGCACTAATATTCCTGGAAGTTAATTTATAGAGGGAAGTAACTTCCAGTTGGTAAAACACTCTTCTGCCAGATGGGCAATGGAAAGCCTGCTTTTCCCTGGAAAAGTTGTTCCAAACTCTATCCTTGTTGTATTGGGAAGAAGAGGAACCTTCCAGATTTGTTAGAACTGGCAGATAATAAATACCCTCAACTTAGAGCAGCAAGAGAAGACCCAGCTCTGTCAGGCCAGGTAGAGAAGGAGAGAGAGAGAGGATTCATTAAACCTTGCAGTGGTGGGGACTAACATTTTGGGGGGTACCTGTTATCCATCACAGGTGAGATTTGTAGGCTTGCAGGATCCTCTGATGCAGAATTAAAGCTCTTGATATGTTCAGACAAGCCACTGCCTGGCATAGATATCTGGGCCCTATTGTTTATTTGTCTGGGAAGGCATCGAAAGCAGAGTCAGGTCTCAGGGGGTGTTGCCTCCCATAAATAGCCCCTTTTCCTAGCCCCCCAGCAGCACATTAACCTAACTTTGCCACCTCAGTGCTGTGGCTGTGTGCTCTCACAGATGGAAACCAGTCAGCAACTGACCAGTCCCTGCCTAGGTCAAGTGCAGAGAGAGGGTGTCTCCCCAGATGGATGGGTTGATAAATCTCCTCGATCCTTTACCTCTAAAGCTGTGTTGCTCTTTAAGTTTGCTTGACAGATCCTATCTTTTTGTGCCTAAGAACCTGCAGATTTTTGTTTCCTTCTGACATAAGACCTGATTCTCAACCTAGTTGTTTAGACAAGACCTTCAGACATCTTTCTTTTGCTATAATAACATCGCAAAGGAGGATAAAAAATTGTTGGCTTAAGAGTTCATTGACACTGTTTTCATTTAAGATAGCGAACTTTTTCTTAGATGGTCAGATAGTAAGTATTTTAGGCTTTGCAAACCAAGAGGCAAAGTCAGGGATATTATGTAGGTACTTACATAACCTTTTAAATGTACTCATTTCAAAATGTGAAAACCATTCTTAGCTCAGGCCATAGAAAGCAGGCAGGCTGGGCATGGCCCTCTGGCCATAATTAGCTGGCCCTGATCTAAGATGACTTAAAATCCTTAGTAAGAAGACAGAGGAATATGAGTTTCATTACAACAAGTGAAGTTTCATAAGGATGGGGTCATGATTTTCTTGTTCAGTGGTGTTGCCCAGGGCCTTCATGGTCCCTGGCAGAGAATAAGACTCAGCAAATATTTACTATTTGATTTGGATCAAACACGAATAATACAGATAATGAGGCAGCCCTAGAAAGTCATGAGCCTTTCCTAAGGTCCCTTTTTCTTGTTACAGAAACATAACTGAGGTTTGAATTTAAAAAGTCAGTGTTGCCACACTTTTCAGAAATGGGCAGTAGTAGTCAGTACATACTCATATATGTGAAGAACTATAATATTAAGTAAGCATTGGTGTAGTGCTTAATATGTGTCAGGCACTGATCTAAGTGTTTAAGTACATGAACACAATAAGTCTTGAAGTAACTATTATCATCCTCATTGTTACAGATGAGGAAGTTGAGGCACAGAGGAACAGAGGAGCTAAGTAACTTGTATAAAGCCAGATGGCAAAACTGAAATTCAGACCCTCAAGAGCCCTTTTCCTCATCATTAAATTTTGACTTCCTCTAATACAGATTGAAAGGAATTTATTAGTTTTTATTCATGGCTGCTAACTCAAATGAAAAACTTAGCTAAAAAGAACTTTGGATGAATTATCTGGTTCATTTTCTGTTTTTCTCCGTGTTTTTTGCCTCAGGTGGTCAAGCCCATCATCCTCATTGAGCAAACCCGTGTCCCGGGGCCAAAGAACCAAGGGGGTGGATTTTGAATCAGATGAGGTAAGAAAGTATAATGTTCAATCTTAGTTTTTAGCTGTTGATAAAATTTAAGCTAGTTGCTGGAAATTATTTTTTTAAATAGTTTCATTGATAACCTTCCATTGAACTATAATTAATGTTAGGCACCAGTAAGTAGCATCTGCTGAGTGTCTTATCAATGCAAAAACTTCAGTTACGAAAGGCCTGCAGATTTTTAAAGTGTGACATTCTCTCTGCTGTTACTCAATTTGTTCCATTAACAGTGGGATCTAGATAGTTTTCTTAGCCTATTATTTAAATTTGGAGAAATCCTGATGATCATAAAAGCCTTTAACGTTACTTTAATAGAACATTTGTTAAGTACCTCTAGATGCACCACACATTACACATAGGATGGTACATGGTGGTGATATTCATGCCACAGAGGTGTTCAGATATTGACTGAAATGCCACAGGGCAGGATATGAAAGAAACTCCAATTCAAGACTGTTATCTAGACCAGAAAACAATGAAATCTCTTCTAACTTGAATGAGAAGGTATAGAAAAATGTAAATCAGTATTTGCCTCTTGCCTTTATTAATTTGTTACTTCAGCTAAGTTGAATTAAAGCCAAGCCTTCCTTTTCCTCGGTAACTGCCATTTGAGTGACCATTCCTAGGTTTGTTGGACTGCTTTAGTGTGTTTCTCTAAACCTCAGCCCTTTCATTTATCTACCTTTATTTAAACAAATTTTTAATTGTGGTGAAAATATCTAAAAGTTACCATTTTTAAGTGTGCAGTTCACTAGTGTTAGGTACACCCACACTGTTGTGCAACAGACCTCTGGAACCGTTTCAGCTTCCATAGCTGAAATTCTACACCCATTGGTCGGCTCCTCCTTGGTACCTGGTAACCACCGATTATGCTTTCTTCCTGTTTCTTTGAGTTTGGCTACTTCAGATACTTTCTGTCAGTGAAATCATACAGCATTTGTCCATCTGTGATGGGTGTAGTTCACTTAGCCCAATGTCCTCAATGTTCATGCCTTTGTGGCAGGTGACTCATTCCTTCCATTTGGAGCGTCCGCTGCTGCTCTCACGTTCCCAGCTGTGATTTTGAAACAGCTTGAGCAGAGGACTCACCAGAATTCAGGCTGCAGGGAAATTGGCAGCATGAGCACAATCTGCCTATTAAATACTAATGTCTTATCTCTGGGAGGCTAGCAAGCAGTTGTTGACTCTTTCCAAAGCATCTAAATATGCATGTGGTTATGTTTTATTACAGTTAAACACTTATGTAGTTCCTGTTAACTACAGAGAAGAACCAGTAGGAAATTATTATCCTTCAATTTGGATTTATCTCTGATTTATTAACAAGTTCTGCCTTTGGTAGTAGCAGACAATGAATCAATAAATGAAAATGAATTTGTATTTCTCCAGGCATCCATTTCTCACCAGAGATGGCTTATGCAGCTAACATTGGAATGTGTTAATACCACCAACAAAGCCTAACACCAAATAATTATCCCTTTTTATTAATGTCTTAAAAGCGTAAATAACAAATTTACAAGCAGTTGTCTTCTGAATATTTAGTTGTAGAATACATAAGAATCAATTTTGTGTTACCTTCATCAAATTATGTAACTTGGGCTTATCTGAGTTTCGCTAGTTTTCATTTTCTTTAAATTCTTAGTTAATATCTCATGCTTACTCTGCATATAATCTAGAGCCCAGCAGAGGGGAACTCTTTGAAACTGAAATACCCCATCTACTTCTTTTCCAAAAAAATATTTGAAAGATTGCTTTGCTAGGTGGTTTCTTGCATCAGTCTGAGAGTAACTGTCTGTTTCTAGCATTGAATGGGTAACAGGAAATAAAAATTATAGCTATTTCTGAGGTAGGGCATTAGGCTTCATTATTTTCTGGGGCGAGTTTCCAGAACATTGGATATACCAGAAATAAAATATAAATGAAAAACTATTCAAAAACCAAATAGAAATGACAGGAAAAGTATTAATTTTTCTGACTTACCCATACCTTATTTGCTTTTATTAAGTTAATAATTGAGATAAATACAGTACATATTATAGATATATAATCATACAGATATATATCAGGATAAATTCTTTTAATGTTTGCTAAGAATTTAATTGGACTTAACTTATTTCAGCAGTGAAATAGCTGCTGAGGAAGGGAGGAAGAAAAAAGATAAATTGAGAGACTTCATATTTATAAAGGAAATAGGGAAATGAAAGCCTGCCTCATGTGAATGGCAACAGTGGCTCTTACTGGTGTTGTTTTGCCTATAAGAACTTCTGTCTTGTCCCAGTGATGCATGGAACAATCAATAACATAACATTTGTATGTCATTTCAGGACGATGATGATGATGATCCTTTCATGAACATTAGTTCTTTAAGAAGAAACAGAAGATAATATCTCTCATGGCACTAGAGTTTTTGAGATTCCGAAAAAATCAAAACATCGCAGGTTAAGAGTTTACGGTTGAAGACTTCTTGAGTATTGCTGTCAGCTGAAGAATTTGAAAGAGACTTACTTAACAGAGAAACTAATGGATAAGCATTTATATTTTTGAGTATCATTTCCTGAACATGACTCCTTTACTTGAGAAACTTCCCGGTTCAAGGACGTGCAGAATAGCATTGGCTCTCGTTATTCTCTAAATTTGGTGGTTAACATTACCTGGGAATGCTTTGTAAAGTTTGGAATGTTATTTTCCTGATATATATTAGCATATGTCTTAGTGAGGGCTTTGCTTAAATATCATTCTTGAGTAAGGATTAAAAGAAATTTATTGTATGTTTCTGCTTCACAAAGACTCCCAGTATTTTAATGTGGTTACATTCAGCCACAGGTGAAGAAGAAAACTTCTAAAATGTAATCTCTTCATAATTTAGTAATTGCTACAGATTATGCATTTCCTGAAGGTAAAACAATCTATGTGAAACTGTGCCTAAATTTGCTGTTTGTTAGTAAGCATGCATTTTTTTCTGATGTTTGTAATAGTATCACACACTGAGACAGAATGATTACATGTACCTTATACTTCTAATAGTTAGATGTAAGTTTGTTTTTAAAAAAATAGAACATTGTGTCAGAATTACTGCATTTTTTATTCCAGTTGTAGCAGACTTTAAAAGATGATCTTGCATTAAGTGGTAGTACTTTTTCTTCATTATTCTCCAATTTTCATGGTTGTTTCTCTCTTTCTCTGTCTCTCTCATCTATGTCTATTAGGAAAAAGGTTAAACAGATTTTTTAACTATATATTTAAAAATATTGAAGAATTTTTTTTTTTATATATAGAGTGGTTAAACCTTATGGTTCTGTTAGATTAAAATACCGAAATAGAACATCTGTAGCATATCGATGCCAAGATTTCTCCTTAATAATATTTTATCTTAATATTAGGCATGGGCAGTTCCAGAAATCTTAGTCAAGGAGCTTGTGTTAAGTTTATATTTTCTTTCTTGTGCTAAAGGGGACATAGAATTTGACCTCTTCATATTTAAGTTCAGTAGTCCCATTCTCTGTTTAAGAGTCTGTTAGAAGACCTCTAGAGTATTCTTTCCTTTATTCTCTGAAGTAGCTATATTTAAAGACTCCTTAAGAAAGCTTTAGATCTCAGTGGTACAACAGCCTGATATTTCTTCAGACATAGAAACAAACACTTGATAGAATGATATTTATGATTATCGGCACAGTCCTACCTAGCATATGTCAAGTTATAAAAGACCATTTGCATAGTGGCTACCTCTGTATTATAGCCCTTTGTCATGACCTGAGTCAAAATTGCAATGTAACATTCTAATGAGTTCCTTTAAAAATATTGTCTCTACCTAACTTGTGCAGCAGAATTGTTTCAGCAGGTAGCATCAACTCTGCAGAAGGCATGGTCCTGTGAAGTACTCTTGGGCCCATGTGCCCACATATTTCATAATCACAGTATTTGACTGAGGCTGAGAGGAAATCAGGGGTGCAAGTCACTTTCCATGATGGAACAGGAGCTAGTTTGGGTGGCTGTCTGGGCCAGGCAGTGGTATCCTGCACAGGGCAGCATCAGCTGCTGGCTCTTTGCATCCACACTGAGATGTGCTTGGGTGAGGGACCTAAAGCATCCTGACAAGGTCCAGAGAAAAAGGAATAAGGCTTTCTCCCTTTCTAAAAATGGGAGGCATTCCATAGGATGAAAGGGGTACTAAATGTGATGCAGTTAGTGCCTAAGTGTTTCCACGGAGTTCCTAGGAAAAGTGATTCCACAGCAGATGGAGAAGTGAAATTCTCTTCAACTAATGCTAGTCATTTTGTAAATGGTGTGTGTCACTTCTTGGAAATATGGTAAAGAAAACATGAAAGAAAAATATTTCTGTTTGTTGTTGCACAGTTAAGTATGCCATATAGCCTTGATATTCTGTGTTGATACAGTAAGATCTATGGTTTTTTGGACAGTTTTCTGTTAGTACAGGTGCATAGAGGTGATTCCAGATAATCACAGAACACCTACAGTTGCTCTTAGAGGGTGAGAGAGAGCGATGGACACATTCTGAGGAAAAAAAATCTTCCCATCATTTGCCAAAGAATATATCTCTTTCTGGTGTTTTGTTTCCTATCATAAAAACACAGTATGCATTACAAGGTCAAAAATGCATTGTAGTTCTAAGAAAGTTGAGGAAATATAATGGTGCTCAGAAAATTCAAGCATTTAGGTACATGACTTACAATTCAGGTACATGTAAAATGCTTTTTTAACCTAGACTTTTAAAATTGTGAAATACAGTAACAGAAAAGTCATGTGGTTTAACAAATAACTATAAATCAGGGCATCTCTGTGCAGGTCAGGAAATAGAATATCACTAGGCCCTGGAAGCCACTAAGTGTTCTATCCTCTCTGGGTAACCAGTCTTGACTTCTGTTATTTAGTCACTTTTGCTGCAAGGTGGTGGGTGTTTCCACCAATTGACATATAGGATGGTGTAACTGCAAATCTAAAATTAAGAAGTTAGTGTAGCTTTGCAATAACTTTGGAACCTATGCAACAATACTAAACCTATGCAGTAAGACTAAAATTAGCCTTCTAGTTGTGTATGTAGATTGCTTTACATATTTCACCTGGCTTAGCCTGTTACTAAGGAAATTGCCAGTTTGATAAATTTTACATAAAAGGTTCAAGAAGAAAATGTTGTTTTAATAAACAAAGAGAAAAACCCTTTATCAGAAAAATTGAATTAAAAACTCTCCCATCATAAAACTTCTCTGTTGAAATTTACTAAATGTACTATATTTAAAAATAACTTTCCCCCACTGTAATCTGATACCTTTTTTGTATCATACATTTAATTCATTTTGTGGTGCTTTAAAGCTAACTACCCTTAAGATTTTTATAAAAGTCCCATAGAATAAAGATTTGGTTTTTTAGTCCAAAGAGCTTCCATATTCTTGAATGAAAAACATCCACATTTTTTACCACTTAACTCATTTCCTTGTAATATTTTTGAATTTAACGTTTATTAGGTAGGTCTGAAAATACTACAATTTTAGTTTGATCTCTGCAAAGCCAGTTGACAAAGCTTGCTATTGCCACGCACATTTACCATGACTGATCTGATTTTTAGCTGTTTTTAAATTGTAAAGGAAGTGCCTATTTATTCTTGAAAATTGAAACATTGAACCATGTATCAAAATAATCCTTTCCCCAGACATAACCTAGCAACAATTAGGTATGTTTTATCAATTATGTTTGGCATTACCACCAACAAAAATTGTTGAATTAGAACCCCACGTTGTATAGTCATGTATTTTAGTCCCCATATCAAAGTCTATGTTCACCTTGGTACTTAGTTGACATCCTGCTTTTTCCACAACTGTTTTGTCATCCTCTTTTCATTAAGCCTTCATTGTCTGTTTTGAGGGATAACTGCACTGCTTTCCAATGTGTAATTTAAATGTTATCACTCAATTTGGGTCAAATAAAAAAATATTTAATCTTTTGCCTTGACATCCAAAGTAGTAAACTGATTTTCAAAGGGCGCATGGCCAGTGACTGCACGTAACAGTTGGTAAGCTGAAAGAAGCACAATGGATATTAGGCTGGTCGGCCCAGGCCACACTCTCTTCTGCCTCAGAGCCACTATTCAGTCTTGATCCATAAGCAGATACCCACCCTAGTGTGTTAAGTATCCTTGATCACACTGCCTGTTTAGTTTCAAGGTGTTTTCATGTTTGTTATACTTAAAAGTCAGTGGTCTCCACTGTAAGCTTACAAATGTAGCTCCAGTCCACCTATTAGTGCATTTGAACTAATTGCAGAGTTTATCTGGACTTTGCACAAATTTCTAGAGGAAAAAGCCATTGCTTAATAGAATGAGGGATGCAACTGCATTTCTGTTGGTCCCTTAATAGTCTGAAAATAGGACTCCTGAAATAAAGGCATCCATTTTACAGTCATTAAAGTGTCTTACTATAAAAGCTGAAATCAGTCAATTTATCCATCCATTACAGACATACCGGAAAGCCCCCAGTGGTTTATCATACCCAACTTGATTTCTGTGTTTTTAGTAGACCTTTAAAACCACATAATATTATTTAAACTTTGATTTTGAAATAATATTGTTAATGGAAAATTTTCAAAGATAATAGAATTTTTTACCTTTTACTCAGATACAGTAATTTTTTACATTTTGTCCTTTAAAAAATTATTCTCTATATATGGGTGTATGTTGCATACATACATATCCATATGCAAACGTGAATATGCATACTTACATGTGATTTTTTTCAACCTTTTGAGAGTAGTTTGCAATGGGTCATTCTCCTGACCCCTTACTACTTCATGTACATTCCCTAGGGAAAAGGATTTTCTTTTATATGACAGCAGTCCAGTTGCCAATTTCAAAAAATTTGACATTGATGTAATACTTTAATCCACAGTCCATATTCCAATTTTGTTACTTATTCTAATGACTTACTTGCATAGCATTTTTACCCCTTCTAGTCCAGGATTTAATTTTATTTTTTGAGTATGTAAAACATTAACATGTTTCCAAAAGTTTAAACCATTCAAAATATATACTCAAATCATATCCCTTCCCTATCTCTTCCATTCCTTTCTGATTGACTCATTGTAGGTAAACCAATTCCATTGTTTATTCTTAACTGCATGTCTTTTTGCTAAAATAAACCCTGAACAACATGTCCAGGAAGTTGCTTCATTTAATTTTATAAAGATCTTGCTCTTTTTCAAAGCCACATAACACTCCATTGAGTTTAAATGCCACAGTTTATTCAATCATTCTCCTGCTTATGGGTATTTGAGTAGTTCCAATGTTTACAATTATATAAATAATATGATACCTTGTGTATTAGTATTTTCATTATTTTGGGAAGAGAATCTTCAGAGTAAATTTCTAGAAGTTGGGCTTTCTAGGTAAAATAAGTAAATGAATATATAGTTTTGTTAACTATTGTCAAATTCCCTTCCACAGAGGTCGCACCATTCTGTATTTTCACCAGCTGTGTGAGACTGCCTGTTTTTCCATAGTGTCACCATCAGAACTCGTCAAGCTTTTGATTTTTGGCCAGTCTAATAGATGAGTATATCAGTGTGTTTTTTTTAAAAAACAGAATTTGCGTATCTGTTATGCATGAACATCCATTTAAGGGCCCTTTTTGCATCTGTTTTTAGTGAACTGCTTATTTGTGCATTTTGTCCATTTTTCTAGAATTTTCAGTTCTTTTTCCCCCTTAAAAAAAATTAGTATTAAGGATACTAGCCCTTTGTCTATAATATATTGCAAAATTTTTAAAAATCTGTTACTTGTATTTTGATTTTCTTATGGTGTTTTTTGCAGCACCCTCGTTTATTTCTAATGTCAAATTTATCCCTTTTCTTGCTTGTGGGAGCATCTGGACTTAAATAGTGTGAAAGCCTTCATACCCAGGTTATAGAGGAATTTACTGTTTCTTTTTGTCCTTTTATAGTTGTTATTCTTTTATATTTAGATCTCTGATCATTAGAGTTTACTCATATGTAAGGTTGTGAGACATGGACTTAACTTTATCCTTTATGAATGGCTGTCCAGTCTATACATCATTTATTAAAGGGTTTTTTTTGCCGTATTGATTCATACACAGCAAGGTCTATTTCTGGACTATTCTGTTCCATTGGTCTCTATCTCTCCTGCACCAGTAGAGTAAGGGTTAAATATAGAGGCTGTGTCATATTTTAATATCTGACAGGGCTAATCACCCCTCATAGCTTTTCATGTTCAGTGTTTTCCTAGCTGTTCATTTATATTTGTTTTTCCAAATAAACTTTATCAATTTCCTAGTACAGCAACAAAAAGGCTTTTTGGTATTTTTATAGGAATTGCATTAAATTTATAAATTAGGAGGAACTGACTTCTTGTAAGGATGTCCTATCCAAGAACAAAGATGTCTTTACATTTGTTTAAGTCTATTTTGTGTGTTCAGAAATGTTTTAAGTATTCTTCACAAAGGTTTGGAACACTTTCAAAATTTTATCTTAATCATTTTGTCTTTTGTGTTGCTGTTGGCGTTGAGTTTTTCTCTTCCGTTTATCTTTTTACTGGTTATTATTTTTATATATGAAAGCCATTTATTTTTGCGCATTAATTTCCTATCCTGTTAACTATGCTGAAGTCTATTATTAGATTTGTTTTATCTTTGATGCTTTAGGACCTTCCATGTATAATTTTTATGAGATCCACCAGTAGAGAGATTTTTTACTTCTTCATTTCAGTTCTTACAACTACATTATTTTCTATCATCTAGGTACGTTGGCCTCCACTATCATGTTTATATATGAAGAACTGGCAAAGTGCTGACAGGGAACATGAAATTTTTTTGATGTTGGTAATGTTGGTAATGTTAATGGAAGTCAAAAAAGTTGTTGCTAAAAATCACTCTGAAAGTTCTGCTTCTCCAGGCAGGCTTTGTAAATTTAACCAAAGAGAAACCTCATTTAAATGGAACCTGACGATGTGTATGTGTGTACATTTCTGTGTGTGACTTCTTTCACACACCATTATGTCTGAGATGCATCCACGTTGCAGCATGTATCTGTAGTGGGTACTTTTTCACGGCTATAGCAATCTACACTTCGTGCAATATAGGAGGGTGCTAGGTGCTCCATATATTTTCATCTGGGATTGTCAGTCTGTTTAATTTTAGTCATGCTGATGGAGATATCAGAGTATCTTATTGTGGTTTTCCTTTTCATTTATCTGATGATAAATGATGCTGAGGTACATTTCAAAGGTTTTTTTTGACAGTTTTGATATCCTCTCTTAAGTGTGTTCAAATCCTGCCCATTTTTTAATGGTTTGTCTGCCTTTCTCTTTGTTAATACAGGTATTGCGGAATCTCCAGTCTGTGGCTTGCCTTTTCGTTCTGAAAATGGTGTCTTATTGAACAGAAATTCTAAGTAGTAATGAAATCCAACTTATCAGTGATTCATGTTTTTGAGTCCTGTTTTAGAAAACCATTCCCTATCCTAAGATTATAAAGAGATTCTTCTGTGTTATTTTCCAGAAGCTTATCCTACTTGCCTTTCACATTTAACTCTGTAGTCCTACAGGAAATTGATTTTTATGTGTGATGTGAAATAGGAATCATGTTTCATTCTTTCCATACAGAGATGCACCCATTTGTTGAAATGACTTTCCTTTCCCCCAGTTCTGCAGTCTTTAGTCGTTAATTGAGAGACCATGTATATACAGATCTGTTTCTGAACTTTTTTTTCTATTCCATTGCTCTATTTGGAATTAATTGCTGTACTTCTGTAATGAACCTTTTTATCCACTAGAACAAATTTTCCTTTTTCGTTTTTCAAGAGTGTCTTGGTAATTCTTGGCTCTACAATTTTTTAAGCAGATTTTATAATTATCTGTACTGCTTGTGACCTAGTACAAGGTTTTAACAAAATAACTCTCTAATTTCAGTTTGATTATAATTCATAACTATTGTCACTTATAGTTGGTTTAATTTAAACCTTGATTTATTCCCAGGCTTGATGGGACATTTCCTTTGTCAGAGAAACTGATTTTGGTTGCCAGAGCTGATGTGTCTATGTGAGATTAGGAAGCTATCCTATCCTTGATAGATTTTTCTGTCTCCTACCTGAAATGTTATCAACCCACTTACCTAGCTTAATGCTCCTTTGCCCATTTGTGGCACAGCCCAATTGAGAGAGGGTAATAATGTTTTTTAGGCTTGCACATCACACCCACCTTCCCTTCATCCGGTAAACCGCGTACTCTCCTTCACTGCTCTCCTGAGACCCTGTCTATATTTACAAAGCCAGTCCAGGCTTTCTTCTAGTTCTGGTCTTCTGTGCCCACCCTGTCTGTCCCTCGACCCCTAGTTTCCTCCCGTCTTCACTTCCAGCTTTCTGACAGGGCCATCTCCTCATATCCTGCAGGAGTCTCTTCTCATCAAGCAGATGCTGTGGAGGAAAGGAGGAAAATGGGGGAGAAAACTGTTTGTTGAGTTGCTATTTCATGCCAGGCCAGGTGTTTGGATATTATCATTTATTCTTATAACACACTATGAAGTAGGCATTTTTGCCCTTTTTTATAAGTAACAGTAAAGACCTAAGCGTAAGGTCACACTTCTAACAAATGGTAGAGCTGAGATTTAAATCTTACTCTGTCTGAATCCAAATCTCATTCTTTCCATGTGACCATATGGCCTCCCATTACTGAGGTATGTCCTGACCTAATACTGATATGTTAGCCTCAAATACTGATGCATATTTGAACAAGGATTCTACAGAAATAAGGGCAAAGTCCTTTTGAGACTGTGAGTTGGGTCTCAAGTTGGTGACTGACCCTGGCAGGGTGAGCCCCAGGAGGAGGCCTTTCCTTGGTCAGAGATGTTTCAGATGGCTACAGGGATTCATATTTAACAGTGGTGAATAAATTCATATACACAATGACCCATTGATCAATTTCTTGTGAATATTGAAAATGTAAGTGG